TAGATCTACACTAATAACTTATGTGCAAAATTTCAGATCATTCGCTCAGAATAATTATTATAATAGTGAAAAATGACCCAAAATTGAAAAGCGTTTATACTCGGACTAAGAATAGCACAAACATATGAATTTCAATGTATTTTTTATATATTTCTTTGTTATATTTAGTTTCTATTTCTGTTTAAAGTGCTTATGTTTATCTATGTGAAAAATTAAATTGTTATGTTTTTAGACTTATAATCCTCAGTGGAGTTCCTTTAACAACATATTGTAATTAAGTGCTAATGCACTCACCTTGTCAATCTCCAACGCAGTGATCTCCCCTTACAGGATTAGAGGCCGTAGCGTAACCGGTGCGAGGTGTTTGTCACGTTGTGTGTTCCTATAAGCCCTGTTTATAATCCATATACATGTAACCCTTGATATTTCACTACAACTTCGCGCAGCAATGTTATTTTACTCTACAATCCAATACTTTTTTCCCCAACAAAATTCATTAAAACACTATTTCGGGAAACACACCTTGTAAAAATTTGTCAACAAATCAAAATTATTGTTGCAAACTACTAAGCCATTCAAACAGAAGTTGTACACTTTAAAACACTTAAAAAATTACTATGGAATTTCAATGATAAAATCCCAATTGACACGTGCAAATCGTGACTGTGCATGGTATTCAAATCAGTCTACTAATTTGTTATTTTTAGAAATGTGTATTGATTTCGATTGTATACAGTGTTTATATGTTTGTGTACATGGAACGTTTTCATTTTATTATATTAAAATGTAATAATGTTAATCTTACAATGCTATTTCATCTTTGAAATAAAGATATTTTATAGCAATAAGATATACTCCAATATATGCGTTTATTATATACTTAATATCTTATTTTTCGTTTATTATATACTTATCTTTTTTTCGAAATACGTACGTCTAAAATAACATAACAACAATAGCATAATTTTTATTCGACATTAAAATTGTAAAAACAAAATTATAGTCGATTTACATCAAATAGTGTTAAAGTAAGACACATTATTTCCTAACCTAGAAAATTAGAAATATATATATATGTTTACCGAGAAGTTCACAACAATATGTATTTGGTAATTATATGTAGATGCACAATTATCACAAATGTATTGTCGGGGCGAGAACTCTGCAAGTGTAAATAGGTTATTTTTGTGCGAGTTGCCTCCCTTTCCTTGCAACCGCTTATAATGTAAAGTCAAAACATGCGCCAAATTAGTACCACTAAGTATTGTGATTTTCAGCTATAAACATTACCTTTACTGCTTTTATTTACTTTATCTAAAGCCATACAGAGCTTATTGATACAATTCTTATGATTCACTCAGGAGCATGTTATCTTGACGAAAACAGTTCGAAAGTCAAGGTATTTTAAGATATGAAAAATTGGTTCTATATCTCGAGATGATCGACCAATCTATGTCAGCCTTTCGAAGATTTCAAAACTAAAGACTGACAATATAGGTCTATGGTGATTGTTACTATATGTTACCTGCTTATTGCTAATATTACGACTAGCTTTACACATGTTTCACAGATTAAGATTAAGTCACATACAAAAACAATGTGCATGATTAAACAGTACAAATTATTATAAGGCATGTAACATACAATTACAATGTACAACATCATACAAATGATACAAAGCAGGTCTATGCTGTAACCCTTCAAAATTAACCTCGCTCTATACTGTAACATTGTTTATTTTTTCAAACGCATTTAACGAACAGGAAAATAGGTTCAACTGGTCATTTACTTTTAAAAACGTTTCCTAACACAAAGGACTAACGTTTTGTAGATTTACTTTATCAAAGCATGCTTAAATAATGTCGAAATGGGAGAAAAACTCGTTGGTCTCTCGATTCAAATTTTTAAACCGTCAAATCTTCACATTTATGAGACAATATAGAGATAAATCTGCGGTGCAGGGTCTGGAGAAATATATGACTAGATACCGGATTCTGTTCCTTACAAGCAAAGCACAAAAACATCTTTTAGAAACTAAACTACTAGTAGTATGGACCTAAATAAAAATCACCTACCTCTCTTCCCATAAATAATCCTCCATCTTGAAAATTCTATACTGTAACCGAAAAACGCGATACTGTAACATGTTCCCTACGGTGTTATATTATTATTAGTTACTCGTGGCCACGACAAAGTATCTCGTGCGCACGAGATTAATAAAAACGCACAAATGTCACCTTGTTATATTAAGATAAGGTCAATATGGTGCGATAAAAGCGGGAAATATACCGTTCGTCGGGTAAATTCTACAACCCCGTAACTCGATTTTTGGCAAAATTGAGATTTTTATATCATTATTTTCGTCTCTGTGAGCTCTTCACAGTGAATATACTTATGTAGTTGTAGAACTAACATAAATATGTTTATTTCCAATTCCACAAACCCGTAACTCGCTTTTTACATCAAACTTTAATTCTAGACTCCAGTAACTTCTCGTCCAATCAAACAGTCTGATTTTGTACCACGTGATACATGACACATCTGTAATGGCTGCCTACTTTATCACAACCAACTATTTCAACAACCTTTAGATAGTGATTTATTTAAAGATAATCATAGTATATTGCCCGACTGTAATAAACATATATTGATGATTTGGTTTTTATAGCTCTAGCATCATTTTGAATTATATAGTAAATGTCTTGAAAAGATAAATATGTAAATACTACATTTATTCGGATGATTACCATTTCGGACAGCCTTGATGAGTTCTATATTTTTTTTGTTTCCCGAAAGGTTCTTATTTTCAAGTTCATACACTTTTTGAAAGGGTACTCATTAATTGGCTTTATAACTGAACCCTTTTTTCCATTTGCATTTTGATCATCCATGAAGTTTTAGTTATTAGATATTCTTGAATGGAAGACAAAATATCACTTTGTTTACATCTAGATGCTATCAGGACAAATTGTTTCAGATTCAACGCTGTTTTCTAAAGCACGAAAAGCATCTACTTGATGTACACTCTAAATCAAAAATTGAAACATTATTCCCTGCGGTCTGGAGACCGCAGGGTATTGGTACGCGTTTAACTTTTGACATGTTTGAGGCATGGAGGAGCACGTGACCTGTTTTCGGTACATGGAGGAGCATGTGATCTGTAAACCGTACACGATTGGTTAATTGACCTTTTCGAAAACCTGGCTGAATACCGTTTGTCGGTACGTTACGGAATTACCTCTAGGGAATTAGTCAGAATTACACCTAATTAAGAACCAAAAACTATTACGTGATATTTCTAATTTTCTATAATTATTTTACCGTTTAAGGTGGAAAAACTTGAATGATGTATTTTAAAATTATCATTGTTTCTTTAATATATGTATCTCAAATTTTACAAACAATAAATTGTTTATACTGAAAATCTACAAAATTAAAATATTCGTAGTGGCATCAGTCATAATAAATAGAGATATTTTCTGCGTAAACTTGTGTGTTTACTTTATTTATTTTTTTTGCTTGGAATTATTCATAAAATGGTAGGCCTATTTAATCATTTTCTTAAAAAGAAATAATTGTTTTATGTTCGACCTTCTCCGGTCATCAACGGTCACCAGTTTCCAAAGACCTTCTTCTATATTGATCGATTATTGTCAACTATATTCCTGATACAAACGTTTATTTATTCCCCTCTCCCAAATAGTTAAATGAAATATCTTTATATCATTAAAAATGTTCCCCGCAGGAAACCATTTTACTTGTACAACATAGGTATGTGACAGAAACGCATCGTTGGATACCCACGGTTGATAAACATGTTGCATAACAAGTGCATACTTTTGAAAAATTGATGTTGATATCATTTGATAGTAGCATTGATTTTCAAACAGACGTGTAAAATTTTACACAGTAGGAGAAGTTAATGAGATTTTTTTCTTGAATTGTTGCTATGTTTCTAGCCGAAAATTATTACAATTTTGCTTATTTAAAATGTTTCACTAAGAACCCCGTATGTCGCTTTAATGGTGTAGAAATGACCTGAATGTTTTACCAACAACCCAGTATCTCCTGAATGGGGTTTTAGAATTCAGAATATGTATGTGTTTTCTTATTTATTATGAAAAATTGAAATAAATTATTTGAGATTTTAGCTTTAAAATTGTATGCACAGAAATAAAATTTGGTATATATGTATAACATACAGATTCCTAAATTCACTGAAAATTTTATCTTGATACGGTTTATCATTTCAAAGTTATTACAGTTCAAACTTTCAAATGCGATTTTCTAAAAATGACAAAAAATGACATACGGGTTTGTAGTATTAAGCCAACGCGTTGGAACCAGTAATTTGAAAATCTTGAACATGGTGTATTTATTATTCAAATATTGCAAGATTAGCGGTGATCAGGTGGATATCATTGAATTTTATTTATACTCAGATCATATTTTTGTAAGTTAACAAAAATTGTTAGGCTTTATTATAAAACTTTGATGTAATCTACGTATAAAGATGAACTATTTAAATAAATACGACCACCTTTTATTCGAAATTGAGTAGGCCTATAGATATATATATATATAAGTATACATTCATATCGTATAAAATATTGATTATGAATATATGGTTTTTATGTATTATTTCGATTGTACCCTTTACAAAATTTAATACAAACATTGTATAATGCATATGCATATGTGTTTACCGAGAAAATCAGCGTGTATTTAGCCATTTAAGTTGAAAATACTCGATTAATGTTTCCACTCAATTTATTTTTTGTAATGTTTAGGTACTGTAGACACTATTGCAAATTCAATTGCGAAGATATCATCATTTAGCGGTTAGTTGTCATAGCCATACAGAGCATGCTGTGAGAATTAGACTAAGAATGGATTATTTAGTTACATTTTAACAAATTAATATATAGTTTTGTGTCGGTAAATAAAAAAAGAACATATTCTTTGTCCAGATCAAAATTTTAATCGAGTAAACTGTTTTGTTTACAATTACTTCCGGGTTGTGGGTGGAGTGGATGACGAATTTTGTTGTGATTATTAGCGAATTATTTTACCTATAAATAATGTTAGAATAATTTCATAATTACATTTTGGACCTGTCCTTTCTCTTAAATAATGTCAGGCTCAGCTGCCAATAAGAGGAAAGCGTAAGAATCATATTTTATATTTTGTTTTGACTTTTTTTTCAAAATATTATGCACTTCTTTGTACGAATTTGACATTTTTAGAAATTTATTATTATAACATGTTTTATGGATTATTTAGAAATCCACTTGTATTCAGTAACCTTTAATAATAAGTTTTTTGGTTATTAATTGAATGTCCAATTGAAGGCTAAGAAAAAAAATGGTTTTAAAAAATGAGGTGAGTAAATTAAAAATTATGAGTTTGTACATGTACTGTAGCTACTGGAAGATACTTAGACTTAAGTTGAGTTAAAAACTAGATTAATAATCATGAAGGGAATTGCAAATCATGAGCAGTAACAACTGACAAGTGTATAATGATGATAAAAATTTGACTTTAACATAAATGTGTGCATACATGTATACATATTTTTGACGCGCAGACATGTTTACGTCCGCGCGACTGGTTTGACATAACTGGAAGATATATACATAGTGTACTATACTTAGAAGTTAGATTGTCTGTTGAAAGTAAAGTTTATCGAGCTTTTACTTCTTTTTCAACATGATTAAATAATTTACAAATCATTTATGAATGTAATTTAAATTGTTGTTAATAATAATATGAAATAAGGCAAAGCCAATGAACGCATTGAACGGGAAGTCAGTAAAAAAAATGTTGCGATTGTTCGTTAATGGAATACCCCCCCCCCCCCCCACCCCCTCTCCCCCACCTGCCCTATTATCATTAAATTACATTGAAAATGGCAGCACAAGATTAATTAGAACTGACACTGAAAATTTCATTGATAGATATAGAATTCTATATATTCTTTAATTGTCTTTATTTGATTTTCTTTTAAATATACATGTGTAGTCTATAGCTTGGCAAGCCAAAGCCTGGGCCAGCTTGGCAGTCCCGGTCTATGACTTCCCTGTATTAATATATTATTAAAATACACAATGTAGGATTTATTGGTAAAAATTACCAATTGTAATTTTTAAACATGTGTAAAATTCTTGTTTACAAATGACCAATTGACAACCTGTCTACAACCAATATCACCAATAAGCAAGAGATCAGTTAAGAGTAACTTTAGATTTATCACCTTCAGAAAAAAATAAACACAATTAAAATGTGCCATTTCTTCTGTTGAACACTTGTCAATAACCAATTGCTGTTTCTGATCAAAACAGCCAGTGAATTTAAAATTAAATAACAAATTGCAGACCGACTGCCTGTGTAACTGGGGTATAATGACCTTTGATACAGATGTATACCACAGCTCTACTTTGCATTGTTTGTATGATGATTGTTGTTGTTGTTTATTTACAGTGATGCCAAGGTGATTATATTAGGAGATTACAATGTTGGTAAAACGTGTCTCATCAGTAGATACATTGATGGTACGTTCGGACCACATGAATCAGTATGTATCAATATCTATGTTTTATTGTGTACTTACTGTTTGTTTGTAATGTTGCTGTTTGTAACATTGCTTTTCATTGGATAATCATAACATTTATATAATTGATATACCTGTACAGGGCTGCTGTAATGTTACTGTATTATAAGTAAAGACTTTTTGACAGGCAATATGGCCCGCGACATATAGTACAGTTGTTTGGATTGTAACCCTCACCAAAATGCTTGGATTGTATCAACTTACAACTCTTTACCAGGTCATATAAAGATGTCAAAAATATACTGCTAATAATGCTTAGCAAACCTTCACTTTTTTAAAATCTGTGTGCGTGTTTTATATCTTAAATTCATTCAAATAATATAAAATATTTAAGTTTATGGCTTAAGTAAAATTTTCCTATTTTCATCCACCCTGTTTGTTTGGGGGTGGGGGGAGGGGGATATTGAACACAATGCCCATTAGAAGACTGACAAAATAGTGGAATGTTAGGGCATCCATGTTTCTAGTTCCTCATCATAGTAAGGCAATGTTTTGTTAAGTCCAGGGTTTCCATTAAATTTCAAAATTTGAAAGTCAGAGACTGAAAAAACCTTGGACATAATGGATGCTGTATTATAAAGGAAAACAAGAAAATGTATTACATTTTTGAAGTCACAAGCCAAAATCAAGGAGTAAATGACTCCCAAATATCGACTAATGGAAGCACTGACACAAGTTAGCTTACATCAAAGTTACATGTCTTATTTTAAATAAGAAGTCAGCTTTATTACAATCTATATCTTATATGATTAGAAGTATTTCCATATTGATGTGTACTATCTCTTTCATTGTATTCAATAATAAGCAAAGTGAACATTTTTATTTATTATACCTGATGAAAGTCATTTCCATCTCACTCAAACAAAATTTGTTGTTGTTTTTTTTTAGACAATAGGTGCTGCTTTTTTCCTGAAACAGTGGGGACCATATAATGTGGCAGTATGGGTAATATATTTTTGTTTTAAAATTTTGAAAATGCTTAAGGCATTTAAATAATACACTGCTGCCAACATTAAAGATGATTAAAGCCAGAACAGGATGAACAATCTTAATGTTGGCTTTGATATAGTAAACCCCCAAGGTAACAAAGCGTGATTAAGATCTTTATTGTCATGGTTAGATGGAGGCTTGCTGCCAATGAGCTATGATTTTGACATCAACATTTGATTTAAATAAATTTCTATGTGTTTGTTATGGTACCCCTATGCATAACACTGTGTTAAGAAAGCATCTGCAAATCTGTTAGTAACGGTGCTATAACCTATATATGTAAAATAAATACACGATGAAAGCAGTGGGTTAGTAAATAAAATGTTTGCCGATATGCCAAGAAGATGTGGGTTTGAGCTCAATTATCATGTTTCCTCATATATTGACACCATTGCTAATTAGTCTTGGCAAAGGACTTGAAACTTAAGTGATTAATCAATGTTAAAGCAACACGCCTCCAGATTCATACTAATTTTTATGAATTTTTTGAATATTTATTTGAATGTATAATATTGTGAAGTTACCAAAAGGAAGCAATATACACTTTATCAATGGCTCTTACAATCCACGTTAATTACCAAAAAGCGGTCAAAATATACATAAATAGCCCTTACTGCTTTAGTAAATCAGTAGAAATAAAGTTGTAAATACTGAAAAATCAATCATTAATCACACATAAAATGTAAAATATTACTTGAATCTTGAATCTTTTTACTATTCCTAATATCCTAGTACATTTTTTTTCAATTTTGACTCATCAGGAGGCATTAGCTTTAAAAGTGTGCCCTTCACATTTCATTATATGTTTGAACGTTGTTGTATAAAGAAACACATTTGAATATTGTTTTACTTATTACAGGATACAGCAGGTGATGAGAGGTACACAGGACTGTCCTCATTTTACTGTAGGAACGCTGGCGCTGCGATCCTGGCATTTGATCTCACAACTTCATCAAGTTATGAATCCCTGTGGTAAGACCTTTACCTGTTGGAATACTGTGATGGAATAACTTACATGACTTATGTACATGAAAGCCACCAGTATAGATAGGGATAAATCTTCATTGAAAAAAAAATAAACAAAAGACACAAAAATATTAGCAATTTGACACTGCCATAATTGGTCACTAAGATCTAACTTTTTGATCTTCAAATTCAAATTAATTCTTTAATGACATACTTATAGCATACATATGTGCAGCTGTGGTGAAACTGTCAGATGTTATCTCACATGATAATGGTCTCTCACATGATAATGATAATGGTCTCTCACATGATAATGATAATGGTCTCTCACATGATAATGATAGTGGTCTCTCACATGATAATGGTCTCTCACATGATAATGATAATGGTCTCTCACATGATAGTGATAGTGGTCTCTCACATGATAATGATAGCGGTCTCTCACATGATAATAATAGTGGTCTCTCACATGATAATGATAATGGTCTCTCACATGATAATGATAATGGTCTCTCACATGATAATGATAGTGGTCTCTCACATGATAGTGATAGTGGTCTCTCACATGATAATGATAGTGGTCTCTCACATGATAATGGTCTCTCACATGATAATGATAATGGTCTCTCACATGATAATGATAGTGGTCTCTCACATGATAATGATAGTGGTCTCTCACATGATAGTGATAGTGGTCTCTCACATGATAATGATAATGGTCTCTCACATGATAATGATAATGGTCTCTCACATGATAATGATAGTGGTCTCTCACATGATAATGATAGTGGTCTCTCACATGATAATGATAATGGTCTCTCACATGATAATGATAGTGGTCTCTCACATGATAATGATAGTGGTCTCTCACATGATAATGATAGTGGTCTCTCACATGATAATGATAATGGTCTCTCACATGATAATGGTCTCTCACATGATAATGATAGCGGTCTCTCACATGATAATGATAGCGGTCTCTCACATGATAGTTATAGCGGTCTCTCACATGATAATGATAGTGGTCTCTCACATGATAATGATAGTGGTCTCTCACATGATAATGATAGTGGTCTCTCACATGATAATGGTAGTGGTCTCTCACATGATAATGATAGTGGTCTCTCACATGATAATGATAGTGGTCTCTCACATGATAATGGTAGTGGTCTCTCACATGATAATGATAGTGGTCTTTCACATGATAATGATAGTGGTCTCTCACATAACAATAATAGTGGTCTCTCACATGATAATGATAGTGGTCCCCTCACATGATAATGATAGTTGTCTCTCACATAACACTCTCACATGATAATGATAGTGGTGGGTAAAATAACAATGATAATTGTCTCTCATAGCTCCCAATTTTTAAAAGTGGGGGTTCCAAAATGGGGAAAAGGATAGGGGTTCTTTAAATTTTAAGTGATTATTTTCCAGGAAAACAAAACTCATGTTTAAAATAAATTTTTTTTAAAACCAATTTTAAACTGAAATATTTAGTCTGTTAAATAACAGTAAAAAAACAGGAGTGTTTCTTTTAAAAGAAATTTATTACTGTTTGAAAAGGCAAGCTGAAGTAAATAAACGTGCAAATTTTTTGGCAGTGTGAACGCCCCCTTTTTAAACTTTTGGGTTGTCTTTTATTCCCTCTGCATTTTTGGGAGAGGCCCAATACTATAAATCACTTTGTCATTTCTGGGGCCCAGTCCGTCTCCAAAATTTTCCTGTTCTAATACACCCTATCCCATTTTGTTTTGGGGAAATTTGCTCAAATGTTTATTCAGACCCCCTTTACTGTTTTTGGCTGTTGCTGGGAAAAAGGGTCACTATTGAATTTTTTAAATTTTAGACATTATTTTGTCTGCACTGTTAATCCTATAACTCTTGGATGATTTCATTAAATTTGATTGTTCTCTGTCAAAAATAATTATAAATAGACTTGCAGATGTTTCTAAATTCATAATTTCACCATTTTTCATGTTTAAATAATGAAGTCTGCTTAAGCCGGATTGGTAACTTGCGTTTCCATTACAATCCATGAACAGACTTAATCTAACCGAGCCTGCAACATTTTCAATTTTGTCATTAATGGGTATTCTTTACAGATTCAGTTTTTCTCTATTTCATAAAATTCTGTGTCAAAGAGATTGTGGTGGTATTTATCACTCCTAAGGCAGCTCTAGTTTATAAGTGTTTTTTCTTTACTTTTCAGGGCTAGATTTTTACCACTTCTGGAACATGCAAAAGAAGATTGTTTAAAGGTTGTAGTGGGGACCAAGCGTGATGTTATAAAAGGAGGGGGATATTTAAAAGAATGACTTTTTGATAAAAGTTTGTGGGAATTTGCTAAAAAAAATTTAAAACAAAGAATTTTAAAATCTTACAAAACTTAAAAAGGGGCCCCTTTATTTTAAAACCTCAGCAAAAAATTTTTTATAATGCTCCAGTGGTTTTTTTGGGGTATATTTTTTTCATACTGTCTCCCCTTAGACCAAGTGGCCACAAAACCACACCCAAAAAAAGGAAACCCCAAAAATCATCAGTTCAGCAAAACTGTTTTATTTAAAAACCAAAATTTTTTCATGTTGTTTTAATTCACATGACAATTGTTAAATGTCTTCTTTTTGGAAATGAAAAACAACTTTTTGCCCTTTTTTAAAGGCCGGGAATAAAATGCCATTGTAACTGTTAAAAAATGATTATGAAATTTAGATGAGGGTTTTTAAAGCTCAGATGATTTAAAAATTTTCCTGTAAAAACAATTTTTTATGGTTTTTATATTTTAAAAAATGATTCTCAAATTAAGTTTTTACCCAATTTTAAAAAGGTTTCCCCAAAAAGAAATTTTTTTAAAAAGATATTAGTTTAAACATTTAAATTAAATTTAAAAATTTTAAATTTGGAAAGGTTTAAAAAAAAAAATATTTTTTTATAAAAAGTTTTAAACCCAAATTTTATTTTAAATTTTTATTAAGAAAAAACCCCCAATATTTTTAAATTTGATTACTTTAAAAATAATTTTCAAAATATTTCCCAAAACCAATTTTTTTTAAAATTTTTCAAATTCAAATTTGTTTTAAAAAATTTTTGTTTTTATAAGTTTAAATTTTTTTAAATAATAAGTTAAAAAAATATATAATTTTCCAAAAAAGGGTTTGGTTTTTAAAACCCCCTTAAAATTTAAAAAATTTACGGGATCTTTAAAGGGGTTTCAGTTCTTCATTTTTGTAAGGATTTTTATAAACACTGGAGTCTCTATAACAGTGTATGATTTTAAACCACCTTTTGTAAAGATGATCTTAAGATCTCTAATGACCTGTCTTGTTCATTTTGTCTTATTACCAAATGCCTTTGATGAAATACTAATTCCTTATTTACAACTGTTTAAATGAACCGCTGAAATCCTACATGCATGCACAATGATGAAATGAACTGTTGACCAGTTAACATTTTTAACTGTGAAACCCCTTTCATTGGGTATTTCAATTAACGTTGCCCGCTAGTATTCTATTTTTGAATGTCTGTTGGATTCAGTTGTAATAATGTGATTAGTATGTTGTTGCAATATTTATAGTTTGATTATAAAGTATTAGGTAATAAAACAGTTATTACATGGATGTTTGCCGAACAACAAACTGTTGTCTTCCGTATCAAGGATGACATTAGGAACTTTTGCCCACTGACTTTGGCCTCTGGCAACAGTTTAAAAAATGTCATCCCTGATACTGAGGGGCAACAGTTTTGACTGTTCCACAGACACCCATGAAATAAGTGTATATTGTTTATTTTGATCTGATTTAACACTAATAATGCTGGAAAATAAAACTACAAAGTGTAATATTAGGGCCAGTCTGTTCATCAGAGTAATCAGACAAGCTATATAATCTTAAGGGACCAGCTTTCAAAATTTCATCATAGTTAATTATTCATTATAGATCTATCCCAAAATTTGATAATTAACTGCTTCAAAATGGAATTTGGACATTTGTTTTTCTTCAGAAAGTTCAACAGCTAAAGGGTAAAGATCTAAATGTGTCACAGGGTTAGTAAAATGTGCAGCCTGACTTGGACTTGAACACAGGACCCTGGGATACCATTCCGTGGCTCTACAGAGCTATCCGGCCGCTGACACATCTACTCACCTGGTAATGAACAGTTCTAAACCATTACACATTGTAGCTTATTGCCACAAATCTGGCCAGCATTTGAGCCGCGTCAAGACAAAACCAACATAGTTGGTTTGCGACCAGCATGGATCCAGACCAGCATGCGCATCTGCGCAGTCTGATCAGGATCCATGCTGTTCCCTATCAGTTTCTCTACTTGTAATACAGTTGGTAAGCGAACAGCATGGATCCTGATCAGACTGCGCGGATGCGCAGGCTGGTCTGGATCCATGCTGGTTGCAAACGCACTATGTAGGTTTTGTCGTGACGCGGCTCATTTATGTTCACAAGATGTGCAATTATGATAAGGTCTGACCGAGTAGTTTTGAAAGTGTGCTGTTTTATAATGACACAGTTCTTTTTATTTGTGATTAATGACACAAGTTTCATAATTTTACTACAAATCTGTTTGATTTAGTATTAAGCATTGCGCATATAGAGGATATTGAATTAGTGTACGATTAATAACTTATATATTGAACAAGTTGATTATTATTGTTTTATTCAACAAGTTCAATAAATCTAGTTTTGAAATCTACACGAATATTATATTTTTTTTATCACATTTTTAGAATAAGAACGATTTACTATTTAAAAGAGCCATTTTTCATTTTGCTGTGATTTAAGTGTTACACTAACATTAGCATGTTGATTAACACTATGTTTTGTATTTAACACAAAATTATTTATGTCACATCAAAGTGTTATTACACTTGTGTAATATGGTTTTTATTACTATATGGCTTTGTTACACTCCTGCGGCATAGTTTATGTGATAAAGTAATTTAAATAGTTCAGATTTTGTTCTGATATTTTTCTGTTGAAATAAAGCTTTAAGGCTTTTATGATTGAATATGAAAACATAAAAAAACTGCTGCTGTTTTTAGTCAGTTAAAAGATTATTTTATGCATTGCACACCTGCTTCAATCCAAATTTACAAACCACATTCTTACATAAAGATAGACTTGTTTCCGAGCAGTTTCCAGCCCCAAATCACTTTTTTTTTCAAAATAAAATAGGAATCTATCAACAGACAAGTTTAAAACTTTGACAGAACACAGACAGGTACCTGCCCAGCATTATCATGTTTTCAATTTTACTCTAAAATTATACTTTACTTTTCAATTAGAAAATGGGCCAGAAATGTAACACCTTTTATCACTTTTATTCACTATTTCATTGCAGGCTTCCTGATGTTTTTCATTTTTGTTAAGGTGATTTTATAAAAGAAATTTAAATTTTCCAACCTTTTTCATGTTGTCTGCACTTATATTGGTAAAAAGAACTGATTTACCTGGAATCGAGCCTCAGATATTTTGCATGAACATTCAAACTGAAATTTCTCAGGTGTTCCTTTTTTTAAATGTATCAAGTTATCTAAGGTAACTTATAACAACAGGCAAAACTTCTAAATATATAAACTGTTGCACTATTTTAACTGCTTTGTTGCCCAGAAAACAAATATCTCTCTAAATTTGATGAAGCAACACAGATGCTTTATGGGTAAAAATAGATCAATGATAAAAGACAGGAAACTGCTAGGAAACCAGTATACAATTTTTTATTTTTTTATAACACAACTGATTGTAGTAATTTTTTAGTTAAATCCACTAATCATGATATTGTATTAAATTTCTGCATGTAGTATAAATCTCTTTGAAATGTAACTTGATAAAAAATGAACTTGTTTTAAAGTAAACTTTTATTATTCAAATAACGGACAGTCAGATATAGCTTTGTCTGTTTTAAGATAAAAATGATGAAGTAATGTTTGCAGACTTATCACTTCTTTATATTTTTTTTTACTTAATGTGTTTGTAAATTGTGTTTTAAAGTGGATTGGCCTGCCATAGGCTCGTTTTACTATAAGTGGTTTAATTATAAGTACATGTACAATTGAAATACATTATTTGGATATTCTAATAAAATATTACTTGTAAAAAAACTGTTGATAAAGTTCTTAAATGATTTAGTATGATCATTTTTATGATGAATATTTTATCAGCTGCTATACAAATTAATGTAATACTAAAATCAGAACATATATCTCAGACATGCCAACAACATCCAATATATATAATTCTTTCAAGGTTTTTGTTATGTCTGATAGTAAATAAAAGTAGCATAATTGTATTTTGTATTACAGACCTTCCATTATAGACCAATACACTTTAAAGAGTGTCATATTTATTTGTAATTCTAGAGTTTTCCTTCCACTCTGACCAGTTTGTTTCAATATTTGAACCTTTAGCCTGCTGGTCGGCAACTGAATCCACCCATATGATTAGTGCAGACCAAGAGCAGCCAGCACATACTTGCCATCCAATCATGGTCTGCACTATACACTATACAGTCACTCAGTACTTATTTTGAAATTTTCCCTAACCATTTAGCATGAGGACAGATTGAATCATACACAAGTACATCTAAGAAATTAAATCTGGCATTTATTTTGTATAATCAAGCTTAAGAAAAATATATAGAGAGATTGTAGAACACATAATTGTTTATATTACAAGTTACATATCCCTGTTTTATACAAATCTGAGATGCATTTTCATATCTTAACACCTCTTTAATTCTGTTTTACTTAATAGAGAAAGGGCTTTTTCTTAATATTTGAACACATAACAGGTAATTAAAATGTATCACATCATCTTAATTTATTTACTTATATATAAGATATCTAAACTACAGTCTCTTGTCTAACAGATTCTCAATGTTGATGTCCTTGGATGTTTATTTACCATACTGCAATAGTCATCAGTATGGTTAGGAAACTTATCTATTGTCAAAACTGAGGGGATAACAATTGTCTAGTGACCCCCCCCCCTGCTTTCTCTAGTGACCCCCTTTTTCTAGTGACTTTATTTCTCTCTCTAATCGAAGGTCACTGAAGGCATACTCCACAGTATAAATTTGACTGTTTCATTTTCTTTTGAACATTATGAGTAAATAAAACGTTTAGTTCCTCTGGATCAAGAAGGTCCTTGGTTTTCACTTTATATGACACGGAAGAAGTGAACAATACTGAAAAAAACATGACCTTATAAAACAAGTATTGTGCTCATTGATATTTGTGATTTAGTTTTAAATACAAACTAATGTATATGCATATTATTAGTTTGTTATAAAGATTTTTGACAAGTTATATGACCATATATAGAGGGTTATTTGTATATATAACCTTAGACATAGGATGATGATTATATTGCAAACAGCTGTTTATATATGGCCATATAACCTGTCAAGAGTCTATGTCTATATATAACGTATTTATAATACAGCAAACTTCATATTTTAGAGAATTTTTTGGATCATAAATTAACTGCAATATAGAACTATATAAACATGAAAAGTGATGTTACAAACGTGAAGTGTTGTAAAGACACGTGATTGCTGTCATTCACTTTTTTTGCATTGTATAGGTTTAAAATTTCTCAGAAGTTTTACGGAATAAAAATGAAATAGTACTTCTGACGTACTTGAATGTACTAAAAATAAAATTGTAATTTAGAAAGAAAAGAAATTCTCTTCAGAATTGTGAATGAGTCAATTTTAACAAGTATTTGTGCAATAGATTTACTAGACATGTATTGTTTTTAAGTTGTACATTTAATGTTTAAGAGTTTTTTTTTTACCAGGCATATAAATTATATACAATTGTATATGAAATAATTGATATATTAAAGACATACAAAAAATTTAGTTTGTTGATATAAGCTACACCATACAAAGTATCTCTGGCTGGGTGGGGGCTTTACTTGCAACATTAAATAAGTTGTTCCTTTTACATCACAGCATTTATATTTTATTAACAAGGTTCATAACTCTGGACAATGTATTGAAAGAAGAATCTCCCTTTTGAAATGAGAATTTTGAATTATTTTCATGTTTGAAACACAATATTTTGTACTATATCTTTAGATTAAATGTTGACTCAATGTTCATAGAGTGAACAATATGGTGAATTATACAATAGAGGTTAATTTTGTCTAAATGGTAAATTATATCAAAATAGTGAATTTGTGTGGATTTTATGTATAAAAAAAGTATGTTTTGGGAAATGCAGAGTACAAACGTATAAAAAATTAACGAACTTTGTACTCTGCATTTCCCAAAACATACTTTTTTATATATTACACTGTATATACAAAAATGGTGAATTATGTCCAAATGGTGTATATTTGTACCAAAGTGAATTATGTCCAAATGGTGAATTATGTCCAAATGTTGTCTATATATATTACAATGTATACACAAAAATGGTGAATTATGTCCAAATAATGTTTTATGTCTAAATGGTGTGTATGTGTATTAAAATGTATATGCCAAAATGAATTATGTCCGAATGGTGTACTTGTGTATTACAATGTATATATCAAAATGGTGAATTATGTCCAAATGGTGTGTTATGTCTGAATGGTTAGTTATACATTTCTTTTTAATCACATGCAACATAATCTTATTTCCTGCTCTTGGGTAAATGTTTTGCGAGATAATTCTAAACTCAGACTTCCTTCGGTACTTTCATCATAAAGTTTCCTCATAGAAATTTGCTGATAAATACCTTAGAACTTTGATGTTATGCTAGTATGTCTGAATATTAACTATTGAATGGAATATTAAACCTGACAAGGTTTTCGAACACACGTAGGCATACCTGAAGGACAGGGGTAACACTATATGCGCCTTGGCATTATCATGGCGGCGGCATAACTATAAATTTTGACAACCTTCACATTATATGTATACAGACAGAACAGTCGAGTGCATTATTGAACGATATGTAAATCCGGCATGCAAAGGACACGTTTACACGTCATATGACGTCCGATTTGACGTCAATAAATCAATTACCTCTATTGTTTAATGGGGTTCAACGCGATTTAAATCAATTTTTTTATTAGCATATGTTAGAATGGAAACGGATATTATTTTTCCTGTATTGAATTATAATAGCGCACGGTTTATCGTTTAAATGCTTGTAAACTACTCGCTCAGGCCTACCGGCCATCATAATAACATTCTCAAATGGTGCAATAATCTTCAATAACGTTACGCACTCAAAATTGCTATCTATTTCTTAAATGAAACCTATAAAGCCCTTATAACTACTATTGTGACCCTAATAACCGAATTTGTGTTTCTAAAATTATATTTGACTGAAACATGTAAAGAGGCCATGAGAGTTTTAACAACTGACTGTCATCTTTGCTGCATGTTATCTTTGACCTTAAAAGGTCAAGATCGTTACATTTAAATTCTCCTATTTTGTTTCAGTGTTTAAAATGGTAACACGTTACATGCCCCAGTGACATTGTCTGTACTTAATTCATTTGAATTTAGCTATAACAGTGAATATTTATAATTTAGGTCACGTCGTAGAGAAAAAAGAAAGTCACAGACTGCCAAATCTCTCCCCTGAACATTACAGGAGTAAAGTAGTTCACTTGCACTGACATTTAAATCCAAACAATTCCTTTCAAAGCTGTAGCGCAAAGCTAAAATATGGGCAGGCTATTCACTACGTTTTAAGTTTCAAGCCGATATCTCTAAAACGTTTTGACAAATAAATAAATACCATAAAAATTAATTCATTTGTAAAAGTAACAAAGGATAATAATGCCAAAATCATTAAGTAGAGAGTTGTCATTCTTGTCGCAACTTTTCGGCCTTTTTCACCTGAAACACAATACATTTAAAGTATGAATGTATCTTTAATAATAACAATTTAAAAGAATACATTTGACCTATGTGCAGAGAATAGGTCTCGATTGTTCTAAATTTTATAAACAGTTAAAATGTGTGCCGATATTCTGTTTCGTCATCAACTTTGTCAAATAGCTTCTTATTATTCTGATAGTTTGATAATATTTAATTCACTGGCGGAACGCGCTATCATATTTAAAGGAACCCCTCTGAGGTCCAATAGACTAAAAACATAAAATTTGAAATTTTTACATAGGTCAGCTTTGGTACTTAAAACAGAAATAATTTCAAAACTGATACAGAATAAAAACAATCTGAAAAATAGATTGAATATCGGGTTTTTGTGTCCTTTTCATAGCCTGACTTGAGTGAAAAGCTTTGCAACGCTTTAAAGCTGCACGCCTCCAGATGGGCCGAAACATTTCAAGAAAACCAATATTGAGAACAGTGCACTAAACTTTTAAGAAAGGTTAAAACAGTCAAGATTCAAGCTATATTTTGCATGTTATGTATGCTTAAGACTTACTTTGCAGTATTTTATCACCATATTTCTACTGCGTAAGTAACGCAGTAAGCGCTGTTTTTGCATATGCTGAACACTTTTTGGTATTTTTTGTTGATTGTAGGTGCCGATTGCAATATGCACATTACATTATTTGTTTACCTCACATTATTTTACTTTTAAATACATTTCCAAAATATTTTATGAAAATTAACATGAATCTGAAGGCAGGCTGCTTTAAAATTATTCTAGAAAAAAATGAGTGACCGAATGTTCATAAATTTTGTACACAACTTTTTTGGTTTAGACCTTCATCAAATTGAACATTAATCTTGGAAAATATTTCCAGCCCCGTCAAGTCAAAAATAAAAAAAACAAACTCAGTGGAGTCCTTTCGCCTCTATGTGAGTGTGCAGTTTATGCTTAATCAAGGTTCCTCCGCCTGTAGGATACAAAATGCAAAATGCAGCTTTCGCTGTCTAGTACGGACACCGTACATGTCACCAGTCATGCCCTTAAAGGGTTAATAGGAAATTCATTCCAATTAAAAAATTGAACATGTATTTCAAGCTTGAAATTTTAATTTACTTTGACAGTTTCGGAGACATTGACATTAGAAGAAAAAAATATGAAGTAAAAAAGGGGCATAACTTTGCAAAATATTTTTATTTGCCCGTATGAAATGGAATTATATTTTAAAAGTGAATATGTGTATCAAGTTTGAAGTGAATAACAGATAGTTTCTGAGAAAATAGACCTAAAACAGAAAGGTTACCTTACCAGGGCAAAAACATGTTAGTTAAATAAAAAGTGGGCATAAATTTAGGGGAAAAAAAACTATATGCCTTTATTAAATTTGGCATGATTTTATGACATTCACATGTATACGAAGTTTGAAATGAATGTTTTTTTAATATTTTTTGGAAAAATGACCCTTACTAAAAAGGTAAAACTAACGCCGACACCAACGAGATGGTGATCGCAATCGTAATAAGTTATAAAAACGATAATTACATTCATTATGATTTAAATTATCATTAATTTCTAAAAAAAAATGTGCTGGTTATATCATGACATGTGTTTAATTTACTTTTTATATATGAGCCGCGTCACGACAAAACCAACATAGTGCGTTTGCGACCAGCATGGACACAGACCAGCCTGCGCATCCGCGCAGTCTGATCAGGATCCATGCTGTTCGCTATCAGTTTCTCTACTTGTAATAGGGTTGGTAAGCGAACAGCATGGATCCTGATCAGACTGCGCGGATGCGCAGGCTGGTCTGGATCCATGCTGGTCGCAAACCCAATATGTTGGTTTTGTCGTGACGCGGCTCATATATATTTTATTTGAACAATATAGTTCGTTCGTTCGTTCCCCTCGAACCCCAATAGACTGACGTCACGATTTTACTGATATTGTCCGACCTTGAAGCTACGTATATAAACTCGCTGTACAAACACACTGAACCATTGTTTTATCTAGACATCATTTGAGATAGCAGAAGTTATGAAACTTTTAATTGCCTTCGCCCTGGTTGTCCTTGCTGGTAAGTAAATTATTCATATTTCTGTGACAAGATGTTAAGACAATTCATAATTAACTATAGAACTGATTGCAACCAATTATTGTTTTACTTACTTTGGGGTAGAAATGAGACTTGACGACTTGTGTAAATAAAACAAAAGAAAAACAAATAGCGTTCAGATTAGACTTAACACGAAACGCAGCAAAAAGTGCCATTCAAAATATAGATGAAAGTAGAATTAAATTAGTTTGGTAAAAAAAGAACTGATATCCTATTTATTTTTAATTTTTTTTTGGGGGGGGGGGGATTGAGATTACATTTATCGTAATTATTTATTATTTTATGAACATTATTAAACACAAAGTCCAGTGAAGACATATTTAGCAATCACACCTTGTGTGCTTGTTATGGCTTTTAAAAAGTTTAAGAAATTTGCGACCAAACGGCATTACCCGGAACATTTGCATGACCGTGATTTTTTTTATTTGACAATAAAAAATATTCCTGCAGAAAAAAAAATCAATGTAGTAAAAGAGACCTTGTGGTGTATCAGCAATCAAAATATAGGAAAGTAGTTCAGCGGAAAATATCACTGCGCACTTGTAATTATTTTTTCCATTCAATCACTGCTAATATGTAAATAACGCTTGGTTTTCTCACCCAAACTCTGCAAATTTCTAAATTACTCATATTTTTGTATTCAAACTCTGCCAATATCTGAACAACTCATTGTTTTCTCATCCAAACTCTGCCAACATCTGAATTACTCATGGTTTTAGCAACCGAACTCTGCCAGCTATTTTGTTAACATATTAACCTTTACTACGCATAACTTCACGTTCAGTGCTTGTTTCTTGAAATGATTTCTAATGTGCCTTCATATTACTAATACCGTATCTACACTTCTATTTTAGTGTACAGCATAGACGCTTGCACACATCACGACGATTGTAACTCATATGGATCGAGTTGTCCGACGGGCCATTTCACTTGCATTCTCCGCCAATGCCATTGTACCATGGGAAGTACAGGTTAGCTATTTTATATGGTGGCTGATTTGGAATCTTTTTTTGTGGATCGTGTTGTCGCTAGCGACAGCACAACAAAGCGCCAAGCTTTCGTCTTGTCGTCCTGTCGCTAACGATGCACGTCAAACGGCGCGTTGTCGAGCGGCGTGTTATTGCGATGTCACTTTTTCGCTCGGCTTAAATCGAAGGACTGGCTATCTGTATATGTATAAGCCAAGCGACAGGGGAAACAGGGCGACATCGCGTCAACGCGCCGCACGACCACGCGCCGTTTGGCGCGCTTCGCTAGCGACAAGACGAAAAGGCGAGAACAATATAGGTTGTTTTGTCGCTATCGAAAACGCAACGCGCAAAGTGTACCAAATCAGCCACCATAATTTTATTTTCTTTTTCTTTTATAATATACGTTTCTTTGATACCACATAACAGAGAACGTCGATGCAACTAAAATTAACCGAATTATTACATACTTATAAATTAGATATTGAAAATATTGATGAAGAAATTGCGCATATTCAATTTCCGTAATTTCACTGCAAAAGAAAAAAAATCACTACAGTGAAACATTTTTTACGTATTTTCACTGGTGTCTTGCCGGACTTTTTTCTAAATTCAGCCAGAACAAAAGTACTTAAGGGGAATCTTTTCAAATAATAAGATTAAAAAGGAGAAAAGTATAGAATAAACAGAAAATTCAAGATTTTTCCTTAAAATACAGGACTCACTATGAAAATTATTATATTTCACTCGTGGCTACTGCCATTTATGAGATATTCATGTTCATACCACTAGATGAAAATAAATCCTGCATTTAAAGAAAAAAAACTTGAACAACCTCTATGTATTATAACATTATTTAAGAAATTCTTACCCAGTTATCTTCTTATGTTATGCATGCAAATGCGATTCTTCCTTGCATTTTGACCAGACGGTTAAACAGTAAAGAAGTTATATTTATTTTACTTCAACTGAATAAATTATCTTTATAAATTGATAAATTTTCAAGCCTTTGATTCAGACATTTTGTCATATAACCCATTTCCTTACCAAACAATTAGTGAAATTGACCATATAGATTCTGATTTTATTCTGATTCTGATTTTATTAATAATAGGTTAACCAAAGATGTGCACACTTATTCCTTTAAACACATGATTTATTTTGTACAACGTTATTAGTGCTTTTTCCATTGCATTAATTAAAATAATATATAATATTATATCATAAACAAGGTTTGGGACTGACAGCCACAAATAATATAACATGAAAAACACTAACCACTTATAAAACAAAAAGTTTAATGTATAACAATGTATATGTATCTATTAATTGAATTTCAAATTTCGTTTGATTTGTTCCCCTCCCTTTTTTAAATGTCATGTCCGAAAAAAAAACCCGCAACCACAACATCTAAAACACATACTTTATTATAAGAGTGCATAGATAACATTTAAATTTCCTGACATATATTTATACAATATTCTTAATTTCAGGTGATTCTTGCACTGACTCAGGTGACTGCCCTGATTGTCATGACAGATTTTTGTCTAAACATTGCGTCGACGGCGGCTGCCGATGTACCATCCATTTAGGCGGCATTGGTGGAATTGGCAAATAATCTGATGTTTCATTTTAATTGTAAAAAATATTTGTAGCTGCATGCTTTCAAATAAATTTGAAAAATAAGGACACTTTTCAGTTATATTGACTTCCAATTTAAACGCATGAAATGCATTATTTGTCTGACGTGGTATCTCAACGATCACATGGCACTCTAATGGTAATTTTAAGACAGATTCCTGCAAGCAAATCATGTTACATATATCTTTGTATTATAGTTTGGGGACATTTCTGTTGAAAATGTGTCAGAGTTAAATTGTATACATACATGTATACATGCACAGTGCGTTAAATGGAGTGCAGGTATTAGTTACCCGTTTTCCAGAGCATGTCCATTGATTGCCTCATTTTTTCTGGGGTTTACTTACTGTGACGGCAGAGAAAGGGATAGCTATAGAAGTATTATATTCAGATGCTTGTTCATTGGTTACTTTTTTCTGGGGTTTCATATTGTGACAACAGGGAACGTGTTTTTATGTTTGCCTACGATACAAAAGATTGAGAAAGAACATCAAAACACTCGGCAACTATGTATAAAACAAAAAGAAAAAATGCACTAAACAACAAACTATGTCAATCGTTTTAACAGTAACACTCATCCTTATTCAGAGTTTTTCTTGTTTCATCAGACCAATCTAATTATTAATATAATTTGTATGCATCCAATTTTCCAATCACTAAGTAATTGCATGCGTTCCTATAAAGACTAGTGTTGGAAACTCCCTTCTAAAAGAATGGTTCAAAAAAGAAAAACTCTGAAGCCGTACCAATTAAAGAAATGAGCCGCGCAGTCTGATCAGAATCTATGCTGTTCGCTTACCAACTCTATAACAAGTAGAGAAACTGATAGCAAACAGCATGTATCCTGATCAGACTGCGCGGATGCGCAGGCTGGTCTGAATCCATGCTGGTCGCAAACGCACTATGTTGGTTTTGTAATGACGCGGCTCAAATACTTTCACGCAATTTCCCTTTTCAATAACATTGACCTCTGGCGGCCAGAAAAGAAACGAAAAAGAAATAAACATCAAGAAACTGTATTCTCTCTTAATGAAAAATCTAAAACATCATGAATTTGGAGCAAAATATCTTAAAACGTTTAGTTTTTTTAATATAATTATCTTTAAAACTTTCAAAAACAAATGTAACAAATAAATCAATTGTTTATGTGGCATAACCATAAATACTTGGATGTGTTTGAAAACACGTGTTGCAAATTCCCTTCTAAAAGCATGGCTCAAAAAAGTTCTGAATCCATACCAGTTTAAGAATTACGTTCACGCAAGTTCCTTTGAAACATGAAAATTAAACATGAAATCTAAGAATGTCAAGAGACAGAGAAAACAATCTTTACTTTATTTACTATTAAATTTGATTAAAACTTTCATATGCAACATCAGGATAAATTCTCATATCTTTCAGTCTAAACAAAAGACACATGAGCTGCTTCTCCCCAAAATGAATTTGTCTTAGGCCAGGTTAATGTACAAAAAAAGAGAAATTAATATAATAATAAACATATATGGCATTGTACTTCCTTATAAATACATGTATAATTATGAAGAAGCAAGAACTAGGTTTAATTTTCTTTCATCTAGAAAGGAGATGGAAAGAAGTAAACGTTCAGAAACTGTATTACATGAAAAATCTAAAACATCGCGAATTTTGAACAAAATATCTTTAAAGGCTTTTTTAATATGATAAACATTTAGTCTCTGCATAACTTTGTCAAAGACATATTTAATAAATAAGATTAGTATGATCTATACTATAACCTAAAATTAAATGCAATGTTTTTATTCCATTTTATAGTTCCGAGTACAACAGACTTGAATGTTCTACGTAAAAGCCAATTAGGGATCGGATATGTTTTTATTTTGTATTTATTCAAAGATTTTTTTTTTATCTTTGGTGTCCTATTATGGTTTCCACTTGCCAATTACCTGAACCAATCTTTGCTTGTGTAGCTTTTTTGCAATGAGTACAGTTATAGTGATTTAGTATTTGTATAGATTTACTACTATTAGAACTACTGTTACATTTTGTTACTTTTAGCGCTATTTTTTTCGGATGAAGAGCATCTAACATACACATGTTATTTAATGTTATCCACATTATGTTTTCTTTTCTTATATGAAAACTATTAATTGTTTATTTGACACAATCATTGTGTTTCTAAAGCATAATGTGCCTTTAAAAATGAGCATAAAGTCTTAATATACCAGTAGAAAGAGATAAAAAACTAAAGGTAAACATATAAGCAGATAATAATAAAACTCTCCCACTGAAATCTTCTTTGAACTTTCAGCAAAGGCAGAAGCTGTAGTGTGCCTGAGATTATTTCTCAATATTTATATCTTTGGCTTTGAAATACAATAATATTTTAGCCTTGTTTGAGAATAAATTCTGGAACACGCTGTGAAAAAAAAGTTATTTCAACAAATACTTCCGCATCCTGTCAAACAATTAAAGACACTTGTGGTTTGGACCTCAAAACGCCTTTAAAATCCAAATAAAATGCATATGTTTTTTTGAAGATGGAAACCATTAGGCTATGAACGAAGCCATCCGATTATGTTGGTTCCCAAACTTAAAAGCGCTACGCATTTTGCACACGGCAAAGCTTGGGCCACGTTTGAATTCATCGAAAGATTTTTTAAATGGAAGAAAACGGCGATAATCTTGATGTTTATTTCGGCTGTTGCGTTGTTTATATTACCGTTGAAGTTTTAAATTGACCATCATCGTGAAGAATTATATCTTCTGTGTCGATGGACCAAAGGATTATGTGAAAATATTGGAAATGGAATAAAATACATGGTAATTATGACGGCAGGGGTGCGGATTTTTTCCGGCGAACATTTTTATCTTGTGTATTATTATAGATGTTAAAATATGATTTTTTTTCAAAACGGCTTATATTAAGTTTTTTGATATATATGATCAGTACATGTGATGGGATTGACAAATATGCATTTTATTTGGATTTTAAAGGCGTTTTGAGCTCCAAACCCCAAGTGTCTGTGAAACAATTGTCAGAACTGAAAATTTCAAACGGTTGCTTTAATATATATAATCCGAGCCGCAGGAAAAGAAAAATAAAATAAAATTTCTTCATAAACTGAAAGCCTAAGTGTAATTATATAAAACTTTATAATCATTACAAACAAGCATTATTATAAAAAGGATGATACCTGCACCAAAAAAGTAAATCTTTTCTTCTTCTTAACCTGTAAAGAAAGCAATTGACTACTAGCATTACTAGATTAAAAATCTATTGACCAATTTAAAATACGATTAACAAACATCCTGCTTGATCTGGCACATGCAGCAACAATACAAATGTAGTAAGTTTTCGCAAGAATTTCTGAATATTCTCCAGCGTAGCTTTATCTTTAGTTATACAAATATCTGTAAATGCACTTAACTCATCAAGCCTCTTCTCCGTAACTTCCATAGTCATCTTTTCACTACTAGCATTTAATCGAGCCCTTTAATAGATAATAACTTCTAAAGGGGAACAAGCCTTTTTAAAGGCCTCCTCAATCACACTTTTGGACAATACACGTCCAAGCAGGGAAATGCAACAAAGGTATCTGTCTTATATTCAGCTCTACCAAAAATCATCTATATACAATGTAGTTCAATGTTCATCATAACGTCATTGGTGACGCACAGATTAAAGCAGCTGAATTGAAAAACCTGGAAAGTACTGAAGTCAACCAACAAGAATATGACTTGAAGGGTGTAAAATATTTATTTGTCTTTAGGCCAGAGTTAGGTACTGTAACAACCTATATAAAGACATCCGGGATCTTTAGCCTGAATCTAGGTTGCAGTATTCCAATATTTGGAAAAATCAAATCAACTTGTTCACAAAGATGCAAATCCTTAGAAATAAAATTATTTGCTCAATTATCTTCCTTGGGACATTGTCAGACAAGAATAACTATTTCTTGAATTGGATTTGATTTGGATATAAAATCCAAATGAGAAATAACCATATACTATCTGACAAAGGGAATCACTTAAATGGGCCAGTTATAGCATTATTTAACTCCCTTTTCGAAATTTTGACAATTTCCTTCGGACAATTTTTGCTACCCTAAGTAATTGTTAATAAAAATAAAGATAATTATTTCGATCTTTCCTAAAATAATTCCAAATCTCAAAAAAAAAAAAAATAAATAAACACACACACGCACGCACGCACACACGCACATACACACACTACCAAGTCATTATTTACATGTAACATTCTATTCATAAATTCCAAATTTGTTTTAGAAACATAAATTATGGAATGGAGTCGCTAAAATTTAGCTCATCACGAAGATGGCCCGAGTTTGAACTATTCGTCATAATTGCGTTATAAACGTCTTGTATATATAGAAATTTAATCTCTAAATAACATTAAACAGTGGTTACAAACTTACCTAGTTAAAATAAGAAATGTAAAATCATACTTTTTAGTCAAAACGATTTTTGCAAACGTTCTGTTCAAAACGGCATTGTTTTAAAGATCCTGTAACACATTTTTTCATGGTTTTATTTCATAAATATGATGCTCAAATTAAGATTTGTCAATATTGTTAGTTCCAATAAGCATTATTTATAAACTTAAGATATTACCGAATTTAACATTTCATGTAAATAAAGGGAGGTAATTAGAAATTTATTTTCTATAAATTCTAAGTCGAATTGAAATGAATGCATATAATTTATTGCTTAAACATAATGTGCACAAATAATTGCAGTACATATTTAACATATTCTTCGATGTTTGAAAATTGTTTTATTTGCATAATTATATACATATACAATTTTTTGCAAGTGTGGTATACACACAGTAACAATATCAATCTTTAAAAGATGTTGCTACCGGTATGCATGTATACAGAACATTTCTATGATGTCCCTCAACAATAAAACTGTTTTTTTTTTATCATAATTACGAATGTTTTAGTTAGCTAAATAAGTTTGACATGATCACTTGAATTTACAGTATCTATACATACGGACCATACTAGGGTTGTTACCCAAGAATACATAAGTATGTTTTGAGTATTTAATCAACGATTTCTGAAGTAGTGAAACAGTCAAATACTAGTAGTCACCTTTGTAACTGTAGTTATGAGAGTACTTGTAGTAGCTGTGTTAGTGGCCCTTTCCGTTGGTGAGTAATTTATTTTTTTTGTGTCTTTTTTGTGTGTTTTTTTTCCAACAAGTCATCCATTGGTGTTTTTGTTAATTCATAATCACATTGAAAATGTCATTTGTTGATTTGTTACTTTAAGGTCCAAAATATGACGTTATTATGTCATTTGGTGATCATTCACAACACTTGACTCTTGAACCAGCATGGGGGCTTGATCAGCTTCAGAATTGTTGTTTTTGTGTGCGTTTTCCCCCAAAAGTTTTTAGATTTTGGTGTACTTTTATTTTATCCAAAAACTTACTCATTGGCCAATGCAATTCCCTAAGCCATTTTTCATCTGTTGCTTGTAGCAATAAGTACACTTATAGTAAATAAGTATTTTGTATGAAAGAAGAATTTACCGCTCTGTTTACATTTTGCTACCTTTACGACAATTTATGTCACATTTACCGTTACTTTTTTCAAGAAACAATCATTTGACATTCTCTAAAACCATTACTTAAACATGATAAAATTCATGTTTGCCCTTTCTATAGAAGTACGAATTTATTTGTTTCTGAGGCATAACGGCCTACTAACAATAAATTTTCCGAGCAATATTTGATCTAAAGGTAACCTACAGGATAGTACTTAAAGTAAATGGATCTTTTGTTGTTTGCTTTGGGTTTTTTTGTTGTTGTTTTTGTTTTGTTTTGTTTTTGTTTTATTCCTTTAATGTTGATCTCCATTCTGTAATTTCTATTTCAAAAGCAATGACTTGTTCAAACATAAAATTAAAAAGAGAAAAATATATGAACAAACTTGAAATTCAAGAGGTAGTTTTGTGGAAAAGAATGCTTCAGAGAAGTTGAGTGGTTTACATGACATAAGCCGATTACATACGTTTTAAACATGTTATTGATACGCATGACTTATTCATTATCCATCATGTACAGACTCAATCAAACCAAGTCTGCAATTTTCATGTAATTTTGTTGTGATTAATATTTCCGAGGGATCACTTTGTTTCCAGATTTTCAATTGTGTAATTAAAACACGTGTCCTAGAGGTCGAATGTTTATTCCCAGTATTTGAAATCTTGTGACTTTATATTTTAGTATACGTGAGTGGTGAGCCATGTAAAACCAACCAAGATTGTGTGAACCACGGAATTACAACATGTAGTGGCGGTACTCATGTTGTCTGTCATAATCAACATTGCGAATGCCTAAGGACTGATGTTATTGGTAAATTCTTTAATACAATTGTTTTAATACAAATTTATTCATGTTACCGTTGTTATGCGGCAGCTCATGCCTCCAGATGAGCCAAAATATTTAAAGAAAATCATACTTGACAAAAATGACTGCGATTTTAAGAAAGTAACAAAATCAAGATAAATGTAATAATCTTCATGTAATGTGCTGTCTATGACCAATTTTGCAGGGGTTCTTTCACAATGATCTTTTTTCTGCGTTACTAACGCAGTTAGAGGAAATCTTGCATATTTTGACCTCTTTTCTGTATTTTCTTATGGTTTGTTAGTGCCGTTAGCAATTTGAAAATTATTTACTTTGTTCACTTTGCAATATTTTATATTTTAATACATTTTCAAAATTTTCATGAAAATAAGCATGAATCTGGAGGCGTGCTGCTTTATGTGGCAATAGTTAGTTAATATACAAATATGAGAAAATTCTCACGAAGAAAGGGACTCAAAGGAAGATCTTGACTAAGCAGGATTAGAATATTTTTTCGATTATTTTATACTATTCATGTAGCTTTTACCAATTACTTATATGAGAAGATGAATTTAAATCATTTACTTTGTCCCTTTTTCTTAAATAATCATTTTTATTGTGGAAAATGTCCTTAAAATGAAGAGCTTTTTTTCTCAATCAAACCGGCACAAAGTCACCAAATTTCCATTTTCACCTCCATTTGTTATTTTGAGTATATTTCTTTATTATGTTTTTCATAACTTTCAGTTTAAGGTGCCCCTGTTGATCTTTTGAAGAACTTCAAATATTATGTTTTAAGGCTTTTGGGCCTTAAGGGAGTTTCTTTAACAATAATATGTGTGAGAATAGAATTTCTGTCTCATTGTGGCATATTTGAATGTCATCAAAGGCAAGTTAAGCCTTATAATATACTATCATTCTAATGCCTTAAGAGGTGTTTTCCCCCAATATTCGGTTACTTGTTAAAGTAGAGATCTAGATGCGTTGCAGTCACGTGTTTAATGATACTTGTAAACAGCAATATACAGCTTAACAATGCATCAACAGAAAATAATATCGTTGTAACTGAACATTGAAAAGTCATTCGACAAATTCATTTTATCTAAAATTGATCAGTATTTTTATATAGGTTAGTGGAATAAGTCAAACAACAACCTGGTAATATTTTGGTGCCAACTAAACATTGTTCCTATATAGGATTGTCGTGTGATTTATATACTTTGAGTTTTTTCTATATTAAGGAGTTACTAGCTACATAAACATTTCTTGCTAGGGTTACATACCATATCTCTACATAGAATATGTAAAGAAAATAAGAAAAGAAAAACAAAACAAATACAGCATTCAAATGTATGTTATATTGTTACGTATTTACTTTCTTTCTTTCCTTTGCAGGTAAGGCTTGCACACAACAATCAGATTGTACATGTGACCGTGGTCATCCTCACTGTATTGACAATCATTGCCGCTGTACAAAATTTTAAACATATTGTTATACCGTTATAAAATAGTAAGCTGAATTAAAATAAATGCTTAAATAATTATTTATATCTTGCTTATTTTCTTATAAAAGTCAGTGAGTTTTGGCAAAAAGTAGTGAAACAGGGCATTCGATTTTTCAATGTCGACATGGAATTTTCTGCTAACACATTATTCCAACACCATTTTATGCCCAAGGCGTTATCAAACATAACTTTGATAATAATTATACCGAAATATTTTAGCATTTCAGCAGGACATTCGATATCTCAATGTCGACATGGAATTTTCTGCTTACACTTTATTCCAACACCATTTTATACCCATGACTTTATCAAACATAACTTTGATAATAATTATGCCGAAATATTTTAGCATTTCAGCAGGACATTCGATATCTAAATGTCGACATGGAATTTTCTGCTTACACTTTATTCCAACACCATTTTATACCCATGACTTTATCAAACATAACAATTATGCCGAAATATTTTAGCATTTCAGCAGGACATTCGATTTCTCAATGTCTGCTATCATAACATTCCAACACCATATTATGCCAATGACGTTATCAAACCTATTTTTAATCATAATTATACCGAAATATACTTTATTCATACGGCAGATGTCAAATTAATACATGTAACTCATTTTTCAAAGATTCCACCCTCTGTTTACTTCGAGATGATTATGAATAAACAGCGAGGTGTTCCGAATGCATTTGTATTCCTAATGCGCGGCGGCTAAAGTATGACTGTATGTCGTTTTAGATGCAATTCGTTTTAAGTCGGCTGCATTTTATGAAAAATATTAAACGTGCCAAGAAAGACAATTAAGACCTCAAAACTGTCGGCATCTTATTTTCATGCCGGTGTCATTGTAAGACTTACGCCGTTGTTGGAGTTACACTAATCGTATTCATTAAAACATTATTGCAAAACATTATTGCAAAACGTTGAGGTAATCATGATTTTATCAAATTGAGTGGAAAATGCTCGTAAATAATTGCATAATTGGTCAATTTTACGATACATGTGTAATATCGAATGAGACGCAATAAATCCATAGTCTGTGCTCATCTACCACAACAAAATGTCAGGCACATATGGCGTGTAATTCATCAGATGAAAGCATTTATTCCACAATACTGTTTCCAAAGAAACATTCAAACATTGTTCCACTGAGGACTTAATGCCATGCCGTATTTGATACAGCGGATTGATATAACTTCATTCTTCTTTTAAGAGTGACCAGGTTTACTCGCTCTGTTATGTTTCTCTAAATACTATTGTGTTTTAAATTAACATATGGGCAAAAAAATCATATTAAACGCGTATTTAGTTATTTATATTTTGAGACAACTATTTTTAGCTATGATAAAAAGTAGCTGGTCAAGTAGAAATTCGTTAAAGTGTACATATTTTGTCGATGTTAATCCGGTGCATTCTTCACTATAAATGTATTCACACAGATTCTTGTCAACTTGAAAAAGAAAGCTCCTAATCCAAAATATTTCTACACTTATTTCATATAACTATTTGCTTGTATCTTTATTTGTTTTATCAATCCTTTATTCTCATTTGTCAAACTTTCACTATCGTTATTCTATTTCCCCTTATTTATTTATGATTACAATTGCAGTTTAAAAATACGAATCTGATGCCAATAAGATTTAATTTATATGTAACAGTCTATGATTGCTTCCGGCCTTCTTCAAAATCTTTACACTCCACTTTTAAATATGTTTACTCTTCCACCTCCACCATGCGGCATTACCTATCCTGTTTTTTTAACAACGAGTATGCTGAAGACCGTAGACTAGCCAAGTCATATAAATTCTGGTTCAAAGGTCATTGTCATTTTGGAAATTAATACTACATATTTTCCTTGAACATAGGAACATCTATACGGACTTTGATCGCTTTGCTTTGTGTGCAATTAGTATAATAAGATACAAGAAAAGCATTGATGCAAAGCATCAAAGGCGACGCCAAAAAAATTTGATCAAGTTTTGCACCTAAATACTTAACAAAAGATGTGTACTTTATAGCAGTACCATTACATGTGACCTGGAGGCTAGGCCCAGTTTAAGTTGAAACTTAAACCAAAAAGAATAGACTCTGTCTTGCCAAGATGCAAAGACAATTTATAGTCAATTAACCAATCTTATAAGACTCATGCCATAAGAGAGAATTTCTTCAGATTTATTTTACCAGATACAAGGATACCTGAGTCATCAGCATATAATAAAAGCTTATTGCTTAGGGTTGCAGACATGTCATTGACATATATTAGACATAAAAGAGGACCTAAAATGAACCTCAGGGGGACACCATAGGTACTCGGAGCAGTAGTAGAATGAGTACCAGCCACATCCACCAGCTGCTGTCTATCAGAGATAAGACTTGAACCATGTAAGAATGTCATTACCTATGGCAGATGCTTGAAGTTTCATGAAGAAGAAGAAGAAGAAGAACTTCTTCATGTGCAGTATAGTGTGATCAACTGTATCAAATGCCTTTTGTAGATCTAAAAGTATCATGCAATACTGCCTTTGTCCATTTCAAATTTAATACAATCTGTTAAATGAATCAAACATGTGTCAGTTGAAAAACCACTTCTAAACCCTGACTGAAACTGCCTGACCATGACTCGAACCCATGACTGTCAGAAGACCAACTGAGCTATCCGGCCGGCTACACATTTTCTCTTTAATAATGAAACAGTTCTAAACCACAACATATTTCCCCACTATATTGATTTGTGTCCTTGAATTTCTGATGTTTACAGAGCATAGTGAATTAAACTCAGGGTTATATGCAGTCACAGGATGAGAAAAACTTTCAGCTTGACCAGAACTCGAACCTGTGACCCACAGAATAATGTACCACGGCTGTAGCGATTGAGCTATCTGGCCGCTTACACATTTTCTCCCCTAAATAGTGAACAGTTCTAAACCGTGACAGATACTTTTAGATTTTTAAATTAACAGGTAGATTAATTCTTTTTTAAATTAACAGGTAGATTAATTCTTAATTAAACAAATAAGAAAAAATATCTTACATACTCATAGTCTTAATCAAAATCACAATTTATATATTGTATAATTATTTTTACTAATAAGGGCTTAGACCGTTATTGGTTGTGCCATTTTTTATAACAGGTCAATTTGAAAGTGAACACAACTGTTCTTATACATGTACAATACCTATTTTTTTGTACAGATAAAAAACTAACCTTTTTTCTATGATAAGAAATTTTATGAAGGCTGATTTGTATTTTGCATCAGGGGCACCGGGCAAAAACATGAAAATGCAACAAAGGAACCTATTTGTGGTAGATTGTATTTTCATGTTTTCATCTGGCGCCCGGTTACTTTTTGTACTTTGTTGGTTTCATGTGGCACCCACTATATAATTTAGTGCAAAAATTTATTCAAGGGCAAGTAACAATCTACTCTATGAAAAGTCTGTTGTCATCAGGTTAACTCTGCCGGAGACCTTGAAGTTGAGACAGGTGTCCCTCCACTACAATAGATAAGACAGAGACTGTCCTTTTCAAACTACAGTATGCACATGTTAGAAATAAAATTAGAATAACTTTTCAGAATATGATTTTTTGAGACTTTATTAATTATATTGCTTGATCCAAGTTTAAGTACGATCGTGTTGGAGACATACGTTTACATCACGATTCTATCAGTTGTGAAAACGTGTCAATTCTTTAATGAAAAATATCTTTATATGGTCCTTCGATGACATGTCGTTTGATCCCGTAATAAAGTTTTACTAAACGTCTAGGGAACTGTAGGCTAAGGAAGGTTTGAGGTCGATTTGTGTTCGTATTTTAAGAAAATGCTTTCACTTTAGCTGATATTAACCTTATATTGACGCAGCCAAATATCGGATTCTGTTTTAAAAAGCATCTATGTGATAGCATTTTCGTTATCTTAGTTAAATCAATGCTTTACATCTTTAATGAAATCATAACAAATAGTATCATATTTGTTTTATACCAAAATTCGTATATATATACGTAAATATTTTGAAAGTATTTTAAGAGTGTTTTCAAAACAAAGGCGCTAAATTATCAATATATTAATACAAGTTTGTTTTAGCCTATTTATTGCCGTCAGTAAGACACCAAAGTATTTTTTATTGATTAAGAAGTTATGAAAAAATCGCATGATGAAAACGGTTATCAAAAAATCCAAAGTTACGCTTTGGCCTTCTAGTTAAAAGATTGTTACTGTAAAAATAACAAGCTTTATTGTTGCTTTTAAAACTGTAACATTCTTTCGTACGGTAGATTTTTTCATTTAAGTCATGTTTTCCCTACAATGGAATATAATTTTTGTATTTTCTGACCGAAGATCAGTAAATACATAGCTGGCATTCAATCTCTGACACAGAATTTCCCGACAAACCTAACAACAAGTAGTTCCCAAAACAGCTTAAAACTAGCGATTTAAAAGAAAGAAATATTTTTATTTTGTTACAAGTATCCAACAAATTACAACGCATTCAAACTTTAAAATTAGCGTTGTCTTATAGAATTGTCAATAAATGCACAATCACAAATTACGCGGATGAATTTGATTTTAATCAATGAAAATGCTATTTTTAGCGATGTCGATTACCGAATACTACACAAATAAATCTGACTGCCGAGTAGTGGAATATATAGATTCTACATGTCGGACTGTTTGGGCGAGAAAATTTTCGATAAATTATTTACTTCAATTTTAAACAACAGGTTTATCCTGAACCAAATACCTCGAAATTAATAAGGATTACAAACCTGGAATGCAATGGAAGTTCTAAATTTAGAATGACTAGATTTTATTCAGACAATGTTTATATAACTTCTCCGTGGTGCAGGGGTAACGCGCTCGTCTAGTGTGTGAGAGGTCTGGAGTTCAAATCCAAGTCGAGGCAACTTTTTTCAAATTCTTTTTTAAGTGTCTTGTAAAGGAAGCAGCCATGATATGCAATGATAAAGTGTGGCTGTCATAAAAAAATGAACATAAATGATTTTTTGATCCAACTCTACTGTAGTTACGCAAAATTCCGTATGTATCAAACTCTGGTGCTTTGCAAGATGAATGATAGTACATAAAATAAACTTATACAGGAAAATACATACAGATATACAGTACGATTTAGATTGCAAAGATCAGAAAATACCACAGAGCTTGCAACCTTTGATTATACATGTATGTGAAATGGACATTGGTCAGTATCATACTCTGAAAAAAAAATATGCAAAGTTTAATTTAGAATGATTTTGAATTTCTTATCTTGTAAAGAATAGAAGTTTAATACATTATAAAACACCCAGGGTATCAAAGCTGGTTGAGATAAATAATAATACAAACAGGTGTGTTATCAACACGCCAACGTTTTTGTTTAATTTTTTTTGTCCGTTGGCTTTATCGGCGCTATTATTGCTTCGCAAGAACTAGCCAGCGTGACATTGCGCCAAGATCTCAGTTACGATTACAACAAATTGATTGACAACCTGTCTCGGGTACCCAAAAACAATATCTCGACTCCAAAATTCCGATGATCCAATGACTCCTTTTTTACAATTTCGCTGCCGATATTAAAACGCTGGTCATCCAAAGGGTCATGTATGAATTTTACACCTCATGTTTTAACGGGCTCGTGTAAATACGCTTTTTGACGTTTTTTTTAGAATCTTCATTTGTCAAGCAAATGTTTAATTAAGGAGATAAATGATACACATCTGGTGGAATCCTTTTTTAAATTTTATTCAGGTATAAAGGTCCATATAATAGAAGCATGCGTTTTGTTTCCTAGTACATGTATATTATAAGATACCAATTTAGTTCAATTCGGTCCTCTCGTATAGGTTCATTAATTTTTGTTAAAGAAAAGAAATTTATCTCTCTAAAGAAAAACAAATCCTCGTAAGATTAACATTGTTTACATTATTTAAATTTCAATTCACACACAACTATGTTATCTAACCATCACGTGATGGTTTGAGTAACTATAATTACAGATCTGATGTGACATTTATACCAGTGTTTCTGTAATCGACGTAATAACAATAGCCATGCGTGTTTTACTTTTAGCTGTTCTTGTAGCATTGACAGGTCAGTATTTAAGATCTTATTTCTCTTTATTGCACCGAAGGTAAATAATAAAGCTGCTGTTTCCTTTGTCTGTAAAGTAATTAATATTTTTTTCATGGATTGTCGGAATACGATACTCTTTTTAATTGCGCTAAATGCTCTGACAGCATGACAGTATGCGAATGAAAAGAAAATGTATGGTATTTTTGTAAGATGTACTGTCGTGAATTCATTTTGATGTCAACTGACAGAAGGTAACGTAAATAATGATTTTTTTATGTTACTATTCTCTCAAAAGAGCCAAAGGTATGTTAGAATTTCAAGACCGACTAAAATTCAGTGTAAATAATTTATGTCAGATCCCCAGAGATCTGTCTGTACGACTTGGAAAGACCGAGAACAGAAAATGTTCAGAAATGACACTCCAATGTTTCTACAACGTTGTAGCCAGTCCAAAAAAAGTATATGTGCCGCGCCATGACAACACCAACGTAATGCGTTTGCGACCAACATGGATCCAGACCAGCCTGCGCATCCGCGCAGTCTGATCAGGATCCATGCTGTTCGCTTAGAAACCCTATTAAAAGTAAAGAAACTGATAGCGAACAACATGGATCCTGATCAGACTGCGCGGATGCACAGGCTGGCCTGGATCCATGCTGGTTGCAAACGCACTAAGTTGGTTTCATCATGACGCGGCTCATATAAAGATTGTATTTCTGATAGACGATTTATGCGTGATGGTTTAGACAGGAGTAGGTATTTAAAAGTACATTTTTATAATCTTTTTCGTCAGTACCCTCAATACGTGCACGTTCATAGTGGCACAAGACATTGACAAAATATATTAAGAGCTCATGTTAAAAATCTGATCGTTATATATCCGGGAAGAGGGGGGATACGAGAGGTAAAACTATCGACTTATCTCGTGTATGACAAACTAGCTGCCCGATTACAGCTTAGTGAAATATCCCTATAATGTATGTAGGGACGACCATGAAGTATACTAGGGTACGTGAGCATTAAGACTACGTGTTACAGTATGTTAAGGTTCCTTATTGACCGCTGTACAGTAATTGCAGGGCGGCGGTAAACTATTGCCAATTTGTGCTGCAAAAGAAACTCGTTAGGGAGGCATACTCGTGATATGTACTATTTAGCGAAATCTACTTTTTAATCCTTAACGATCGTTAACCCAAAATCGTTTTAAGCAATTCTATTATGACATCCTTTTGCATATGGGCATTGTAACAAAGCTGGTAAAGCAATGATTGCTTATAAACCTGGCCCGATAGGTTATCATAATCCGTTAAACGGCACGGGTAATTATATTAGTTTACAAACTTCTACTGGGATATATAACATGTCAAAACATTTCAAACATAACCTAATTTTTATGCGATATCTACATTAATTTAAGTGCATGTGAGTGGTGAGCCCTGTTCAACCACACAACAATGTGTGAGTCACGGAATAACAACATGTGGAGGCGGCGCTAATGTGGTCTGTCAAAATCACCAATGTGTATGTCTAACGTCCTCCTCCGGTAAATGCTTCAATTGTTTTCTTGCAAAATTATTTGTAGTAAACTTTTTTCCGATGAAACGCTTATTTTGGTAGTCAATGTCCAAAAATTATATATAAGTTCAAAAACCTTCACTACATTTGATAAACATTTTTTAAAATTCTATCAAATATTCAATCTTTCACGTAAAAATAAAAAGAATTGGAAATATTTGAGCGTACGGACAATGCGTTCGCATGGTTTGTTATACACTGTATATAAAAATATCAATATAAGCACTGATAACTTGATATACAGTTTATCATTTTGTCTTTAAAATATTTCTTGTTACAGGTACTTCCTGCACTATGGTTAGTCAGTGTCACTGTGACCATGGCAATCCACATTGTATTGATGGCCGTTGTAGATGTACACGATTCTAGACTGAATTGAAAACACTGAAATAATTTAGACAAATGTGAAATAAAAATAAAAGAAATTAATGAAAATGTGTTCAATCTTTTTTCACACATACAGTGCGCGCTGGTATGACAGCGAGCGAGTAAATAATTTGCTTGCGTTAGTGTTGATTGTGAGTCGTAAATTGATATAAACTAGCTGCTTATTTTTATGAAACTATTTTTGGTATGTGGCATAAAAAACTCAAATCCATTTTCCCCTGGGGAGGTTATTTGTATCACATGTAGCATAATTATTTATGTGCGTAAGTAGTTTATTTTCATTCATGTTTTTTATTAGAAGCCAACATATTTATGTGTAAACTTGTCTGTCGCCTAAGAATATCCACTGCGGTCCAAACGGCATCAAAATCTTTGAAAGTCTTACACAGATAAACTCTGTTTCTTAAAACTGAAACAGACACCTTTTTTGTTTTGGATTTACGTCGCACCAACACAGTATGAGTCATATGGCGACTGTCCGCCTTTTATAGAGAATGAAGGCCTTAAGTGCCATATTTCAGGCCCGGACTGGCACCTGTGTAGAACTACAAACGTTTTGTAAGCTTGCCAGATAGTTTCTTCACACGAAAGAATCCAATGTTTCGGTCGGAATTCGAACCCAAAGCGGTGAGGGGCAAGTGGTTCCGAAAAAAAATATAAATATATATATATATACTCAGCATTGATGAGTGCGATTCTTAGTCAGAGTTTTTAACCTTTGAACCTCTTTAAATTCAGGGTCAGTTTGTACTGAAACCATAATCATTCAAAACATAAAATAAAGTGAGCGAATGATCTGAAATTATGCACACAATTTATGTGTATGGTCATACATCGAATGCTATAAAAAATCTCGAAAGTAATTTTCCAGTCCCATCATGTCAAAAAGTAAAGATATACATCTTTACTTTTTTGACATGATGGGACTTTTCACGAAAATTAAAAAAATATCATTTAAAAAAAATATTGTGACAGGAATAAAGAAAGTACATATTGCAATCCTGAAATTTTCCAAGAATATATTCAAATTTTAAAAATAAAGAATATGAAGATTTATATATCGGAATTTATAAAGACGACTCAAAGAAGGTGCAGCCGTCTTTGAAAATCAATTTGCATCTGGACTACCTGATAATGCATCTATATTTACTTAAATTGAATAAGCATTGTCATACATTTTACAGCATAATGGTAATTTCTTTCATATTCAGTTTCAGTGCTTTTATCAACTGAAAATCGAAAATCCAATAATATTATGGTTCTGGATGTCCTTTTCGATTTCATGATAATTAAAGAACTAAGTAAGTCAAATTATGATATGAGGAAATGAAAATGTAGATTCTTTTGCTCAATAATCCTTAAATTCCAAACCAGAAGACTGACCGTTTTTAAATAATAATTTTAAACCCATAAGAAGTAAAATGGAAATCAAATTGGGACAAATTTGAATTTGAATTTATCAACATTTGTCTTTATAAATCACTTTTTCTATCATTAACAAGTTGTTTTTCTACTAAGATGTTAGAAATGGACATACTAAAGTTACACATTCTTATCTTTAAACAGAAGACAATGCTTCGTTTTGTATAGTTTGCAATGAATATTTTATTGTCAAACATTTCCTTCATAGATTCTTAGAATTCCTTCTTTGATCTTGCAAATATTCGTGAAAGATTTTATCGGGCCAATTCCCTTTGAGAACTTTTAGCTTCAGTTCCATCGATCACCCTCGTCAATAACTTACAGGAAGTAAATTGTTATTCAAGGATTTAACTAATTTACTTGTACCAACTCTTTTTCAATCAATCCTACTTATACTATTGTCAGGCAAGGTATGACCAGTAATGTGTCAGTGTCATCAATCACGGTTTCAATCAATTGTGTTTCATAAAACAAGTATGTGGGCAATTCACCAATGACATGTTATTTGCTTAGGCCTGACTTGGCATCATATCATGTAAGACGATTTTAGGCTTTGACCTCCAAGTTAGACCTTGACCTTTAAGGTATGTGTCTAGGTGTTGCGCATAACATGTCGCCTTATTATTGTTTAAATTTGTGCCAAGTTATTTAAAAAAACAGTGAACAATAAAAAAAATTTGGACTGCACACAGACTATACCCTTTGACCTCAAAATGTGGCCATTACTTTGAATATAAGAGCCAGGGTATTGTGCATGCCACATCGTCTTATTTTTGCCAACATTTCTGTCAAGTATTTTCAGAATCCCTTGATGGATGAGAAAGTTATGCATTGGAAACAAAATATACCCTATAAAAACTATGTTAATAATTGACCTCTAACATTGACCTTGACCTTAAAGCTAGGCAACTGGATTAATGCATGACACATTGTCTTATTATTGTGGACACTTGTGCCAAATAATTCCAAATTTCTTGATCAATAAAAAAGGAATGGACCGGACACAAAATATACCCTCAAACATACTATGCTTATCTTTGAGCTCAAACTGTGACCTTGGCCTTGGAGATAAGCGACTGATTTTTGCGCATGACAAATGACATGACATAAACCATCAAATAGACAATGTTGACCTTAGTCACCAAGTGTGACCTTGACCTTTGAGGTAGGAATCCGGTTGTTGACTCATTTTCTTACTATAACAAATATTTATGAAAGCTATTTCAAATTCCTTTGACAAATGACGTAGTTATGGACTGGATGGAAAATGTGACGGACGGACAGAGGAGCGGACGGAAAAACGGACGGAGCCTATTTTTATATCCTCCTGTTTTCATCGAAAAGGCGGGAGACAATTATCATCTAGCAATTCTTAAAACGTAAATAAGTGTACATGTTTTGTCTAATATAATCAAATCTTTAATTTATCTTTTCATTAAACATTATAAAGCAAATGATATTCATCTTCAATATCAAGTCTTCTGCTTATAAAAGATGTGCAATAAAATTGATTTGTCAATTTGTCAGAATTGTAAAACTATTTGCGTGTAGGTATCTTTTTCTTTTTTCTTTTTATAGCTCCTAGATATTTGTCACAGCCAACGTAAAGTATAAAGACAAAAAGGGAGAAAAACAACGAAAATCACATGCAAAGTAAATAAAAGCATACAAAGAGACAAGGACGTGCATTCACACTTGCACTCATACTTATTACCGTATTCAAAATTAATTAGTTTCAAAAGCATTAAGCCTAAATAAAATCTAATGCATGCTATTTCGGTTTTAATTATTCCTAAAGTACATAAATTTTAAGCAATCCTGTTAAGTGTAGTGATAGGATTTTCCCAGCTGGAAAAAAAGCTGGCGAAAAAGGTGAATTTCATTTTTCTTTATAAGACAAAGACACAAATTTGCGAGAAAGACTGAAATTTTTATCAAACTTCGGTAACCTTTTATTTATGATCGCTTTATCAGTTTTGAGCTTTTTTGTTATAAAATATTTGGCTCCAAAAATGATAAAGAAAGATCAAGCATATAACACAGATAAACATACATTTTAAAGTATACTATAATAAGTATTATTGCGTTGGATAGACAATCGTTTGCATTATAGCCAATCATCATTTCTTTATACCCAAAGATAAAAGAGGTTTTTCAATTATCATAAGAAATTCGTTTATAAACTTTTTGACAGTAGGAAACAGCAAAAATAGATGCTCAATGCTTTCAACATCACTACTACATAAAGAACATAAAAAAAATTCTTTGTATTTAATTTTGTATAAAAGATGATTGATTCCAATAATGCTGTGTAAAATTCTTGTTTGGAACCATTGAAACTTGGTATATTTTATAATTCTATAAGGAATTTCAAATATAATTTTCCATTCATTTTCACTTAAAGCTAAGTGAAGGGGTTTTTTTGTCCATTTTTTGATACTTGTGGGATTTGATCTGTTTTTATTTACAATATAATAGAAAGGTTTTGCTCCATTTATATCTGATATAATATCTTTCAATCTTATAGCGGTATGTCTGGGCCAATGCTTTTCTGTGGGATGTCAGAGATTACAATTATCATATTTACTTAGAAATTTCTTTATTCAAGTTGATAAAATCATACCGCTGAAAATTAAGATACTTAATTGAACATTGTATTTATAAAAAAAATTCATTATGTGATAGGAATTTTCCATCAGATGCTATCAGGTGTTCTATACGTTAAACACCAGCATTGAGCCCCGATTTTTAATACACACTTTTTGAACTTTGTTATAAAGTTAAACATGTTTACCGAAAGAATGATTTACTTTTGGACTTACTTTTATATATCTGTAAAGAAGTCCTTCCAAAAATAAGATTTGATGTTTCTTTTGCAAGTTTATCTAAGTAATGGTTTCAACAAGGAAAAAGTTTTGTGCATATCTATTTTGTCGTAAAGAATGTTTATTTTTTAAACGAAGAAATCTTAAATGCCATGATAAAGGCAAAAGTATTTGTCATCTGCAAGCCGCCCTCTGCATAGTTTTTACAATAACAGAATACACTTAATTTTCACATTTCCTTGCCATATACAATCATAAAACATTTAATTTAATACACTGATGACATCTTCAGTAGGGTTTGTAAGTGAAATGAATAAACGATTTAGAGATGAAATCTATCAGTCATTATAGAGATATATCATCGAAATGGTGATAATATTAAACTGATTGTTAAATGGTTGGCAAACACAATCCTATTTGTGAAACAAAATGAAACCTTTAAGTTGATATTCATACATATTGTGTTGAACACTGATTAAAGTTTGTAAATATGTGAATTTATGTTTGAGTTAACATGTACATATTTCAAACTTTAGCAAATTGTGAAAGCTGTCATTTCCCTTATGGAAACATGTGCCTTAAAAAGGCCCAGTTGTAGACCTCTTGTTTGATCCCTTTATCATTTTTATGGAACATTTAGGAAACTGTAGACAAAGGCGATTGTGTGTAAAATTTGTGTTCGTATTTTCAATGAAAGGTAATCTCACGAAGTCAAATTTTGTCAATTCCATGTCTGATTCTGCTTTAAAAGCGTCAATTTAGTGTCTTTTATTGATATCTTAGTCAAATCAATCAAATCAATGCTAAACGTACTGAACATGTCTGTATTATACATGTAGTATACCGTTGTAGTTGAATTCAATCCTCTGGCATCACTTCATTAATGTGGCTGAAGTAACGAACTTTCATTTTCTCGCTAGATTAATACTGTATACATTATGTTAATTTAAATTCACAAAAATGTTATCTAACGATCGCGTCATAGTTTGAGTACATATAATGAAATAACTGATGCGGCATTTATTTCAGTGTCACTTTAATCGCCGTGCTAACAAAAATCATGCGTGTTCTACTTTTAGCAGTTCTTGTAGCATTGACTGGTTAGTATTTCATACCTTACTTCTCTTCTTTACCGACAGTAAGTAATTAAGATGCTGTTTTCGTGAGTCAGTTTTCTTAATTAAACTTTATTTATTAAAGGAAGTGCACATAAATGACATTTACAAACATTGGACAACTATATTATTTTGACTGGATTGGAAAACAAGTAAAAGAATATTTATATCAATTCCTCTGCAGTAAAAATAATGTTCAAGATAAAGATACAAAATGTTGCAGTTAGATGAAAGCTCATTGAATGTACAACAAAGAAAAGGAGAATAATTGATTGTTGAATTATCACTTAAGAGAATTATTGTAATTTCTGCATGACGAAACGTAATGAATTAATTTCTATACAGCACTTACTTGTAATCTAAGTTTTGTTTTCTTATTATATGTTACTCTTCCCCCAAGTGAGTTGTCGATTTGTTTAAATAACAAGATCGGCGCAAAATAAAGTATAATTGATTTATGTCTGTTGGAGTTCTATCTTTATGACTTGAACATACCTAGATACAAACTGTTTCAACAACATGGTAGCTAGCCTATAAAATAATCATAACGCTTGCATTTCTGATAGACGCTGTAGGCGTCGGGACTTGGACATAAAGTGGTACTATTGGTTTAGGACATTTTAGAATATTTTGGAATCAATATGTTAATGTACGTTTAGGTTCAGTGACCGCTGTACAGTGATCCACTTCCTACTCAGAATTCTCGTTGATAATTCTTATTTGCACGGCAGTAAATGACTCTGTAGTGAAAGTTAATTTTAAGCCTTAACAATCTTAGCCCCAAGAAGGTATTAAGCAATACCATGTCTACATCCTTTTTGCTAATAGACATGGGAAGAAAGTAAAAATGCTGATCACAAATCTTGTAATAATTATGCCTACAGTCAAAGTATTTCCTAGCTAAAAGATATATTACATAATACGAAACATTTCCTTATTCTCATGCGATACCTCCATGAATTTTAGTGTATGTCAGTGGTGAGAACTGTGTAAGCACCCAGCAATGCGTCAGTCACGGAATAACTAAATGTGGAGGTGGCGCTCACGTGGTATGTCATGATCACGAATGTGAATGTCTAACACCCTCTAAAGGTAAACGCTCAAAATAGTATTTCCAGCATTTTATAGTAAAATTTATTCCAATAAACTAGAAATTTTGGTATTTAATTTCCAAACATTAGACATAGGTATAAAACGGTGACTAAATTTGAAACACTTTTATATAACTTTATAAAGTAATTATACAATAGTCTGTCTTTTACGGCTAACATGCTGTCCCAAGGACTAATATTAAACGAACCTAGGTAAAGATACCGACTTTATATATTGAACATCAAGACATGTGCTGATATACTTTTATATACAGTCTTTTAATTTCCTTGCCGAATGGAACATTAAACATATGTTTAAAAATATTTGTTGTTACAGGAAATGCCTGCACTGGTGTCAGTGAATGTCACTGTGACCATGGACATCCACATTGTATTGATGGCCATTGTAGATGTACAAGATTCTAGACAGAATTGCAAAATTCTGTATGAAAAAAAAGACAAATGTACAATATTGAATAAATTACTGTAAATTGTTTTGCCCTTACATTTTGCCACTCTATTTGTGTCCGTTATGCAAGCTTGTAGGCGCGCTTGCGTGCGTGTGAGCAACGTTTATGCTTGCGTACGTATTGTTTTAGCATTCCTAGTTATATTTGAATCTAAATTGAACTAAACGCCGTGAAGATTTTAGCTTTCTGCTTTTCAAATTAGCTAGCTGATGAGGCACAAATGTCATTTGTCACACTCATTCGATTCATGATGAGAGATAAGATAGGAAAGGTACCTAGCACAATTTCCAGTTGGAAATAGAGCTCGAGTAGAACATATATCGAATGCTTATTCCCATTCATTTTGTTTTGGATCATTAACAAAACCCATTTATGACATATTTCTTGGCCGTTAAAGGAGCTTCGATGAAAAATCTTACATATTCTGGGACACTTAAGACCGGCCGAAAAAATAAATAAGAAATATACTTGCAGTTAATTGTAATCGGCAATTTGTGCGATTCTAAGACCGATTTAAGTTTATATTTTTTAAAAATTTTCCTTTGTAGGTCGTATTTGCGCTATAACAATGACTTTTCTAGCAACACGAAGTGATCGAAGGATTTCAAATTGTGCACACACGTACATAAATTTGAATAACAAAACTGTTTTATTCTGAGACAATTAAAATGGAATATATTTTATGTAACAAAACATTATGAATAATTATGTAATTTTTAGTAATTGCAATATTTAAATTCCCCATATTTCTGTATTTGTTAATTTAAATCTTGCAATTATTAATATAGTTAATTTTACATATTAAAATCAAACACTTTTATTCAATTGTCAGTTTCAATTTCAAGCCAGGTAAAAGTTCATTTTGTAACTATTGGTTAATGAAATCTAAAATTAAATGATAAAGTTTAATTTTGATAATTATATACAATACAATACAAATAACTTTATTGCGAATAAAACATTATTACAATGTTTATAGCAAAACAAAACATATATATACATTCATGAAATTGAGATCTGACATGGAATGAAAAAAATAACAACACTACTTCCTGAAAGGTCTTAAATACTGAGGAAATAGCAGGTTGCACAAAATTTCTTAAATATGATATTGATAGTACATCAAGATGTTAATATGATATTAATTGATACTACATCATCAAGATATTCTCTCTTTATTTGCAAAATATGAAAACTTCGAAAGGTTGTATAGCTCTATTTTCGATTTAGAATTTTATGAAGACTCAAATTTATTAATTGTCGGCCGCCTACAGAAATATCCCTTTAAAAACCTTTTTCTAAGCTCTCTTTATCTAGGACACACCATCAAAAAGTGAAACTCTGTTTCAACTCTCTTCATGTTACAGGACATACATAACCGTTGCTCTCGCGGAATATTCGTATATCTTTAGGATTTTATAAATAGCTTATGTGCAGATACCCGAAATTTTGATAAAGTTGTCATATATTTTTTATCTTGTAAACAATCAATATATGTCTCGTGTTCAAAAATGTGTTTAAATAAACTATAGCTTTGTAATCGGGGAGAATTATTTATTTCTGCATACCATGACTGCTTATAATTATCCAGGATTCTACGTTTTACCATATCAAAGGTAACATTATCCAGAACTTAGTTATGCCATACGTAACCTAAACCAGACTCTTCGAGTATTGTTTTTACATGTGAAGCCCAATTTTTGTTTCTATACGTGACATTGTTATCCGCGTCAAATTTTAGGACACTGTATGTTTTGAACGCTACCGACAAGTTGTCATGTGAAATAAGTTTTTCTCCAATATTTCAAAATAGTTATTTTTCGATAAATATTTAAAGGGACTCTACCAAGCTCCCCATACAAAGCTGATAAGTTTGTTGATTTACGTACCCCTAGGATATACCTAAAAAAATTTAAGTGTATCATTTCAATATCAGTGGCTCTATGTGTACCCCATATTTCTGAGCAAAAATTCAGCACGGATCTGACTAACACATCAAATAAATGAATCTTTTTTGAGTTAGGCAATTACACGGTCTTTCAATAGCTTCCTACGCCATTAGGAATCCTTGTGTGAAACGTTGCGGTTTCGTTGCTTTTGGCCAATCAGAATACTCGTTACAAAATACCGAACAGCTGATTTACAATGGCGTGGAAAGGAATTTAAAGACCATGGAAAGGTTTGAAATTCGAATTCCGCGTGTATCAGATGCAACTGACGGTTGTGAGTGGTCCAACTTAATGTATTTAGTAATATAATTTAGTAAATTCAAGTGATTTTGACCAGTACTCGGCTGGCAAACATGTATTAGTCTATGTTTACGTACCGAATCGTTGTGCCGCTATTTTGTCTACAAAGAATTTTTAGCACGAATGCGCTCATTTCCTGATAGATATTTTATTAACAGGAAGGGCTACAGACTTGGGTCGGTCACCTTTGGAAGCTTAATACAAACGTGAAATAGTGATAAAAGTTTTTTTAATTGTCTGGACAACTGTTTTCAAAACAGCCCGGGAAATGAATCCCTTGCTCGTAGGCTCGAATCTGGAGTTTCCGGCCTTCTCTTAACTTATAGTATATTTTTAAAGGAGGTTACAATTAACTTTTTTTTGGATTTTGACACTTTTAAGATGAACACAGGTTTTTAATCAATCTGGTTATATTTTTCTTCCCAGGTCCGATACTCGTGTCTGTGGATACTACTGACATTTTTGTCTTCAGCTAGAAGAAATCAGATTGTTTAGTAAACATGATAGCAGAAATAGCTTTCACAAATTCGTTACTTCCGCCGATCCCATCATCAGGAAACTTTTCGTCTTTAAGACTGATTCCTCTAAGGAATATGCCTACGACTATCAATACTTTTCACACTATTTCATTTGTCTTAATACCAAAAGGGAGAACATTATAAATTAGAAAGTTTTTATTTTATGCTTTTCAGTGGATTACTGATTTATCCGTGAAAATTATATTTGATAATTTCACAGTGAAAATTATCAAAATATAATTTCACACTTTTCAATGACAAAGCTACCTTTTTAAGATGTACCTCAATTCTATTTTTTGCTGACAATTCTGACAATGTCAGGCTGTTTAAAGAAAATCAATGCTGAAATTGATAAATAACTTAAATGTCAAAAGTAATAAAAAGAATAAAACTTACTTCGATTAATTCTAAAAAATCAAAGTCATAGTTTTCCATTTTCCTAGCCGCTTTTGAATGTTTTAACATCTGTCAACACACATTTTTTGTCTGTTACAATCCTCAAATAAGTTTTCTTACTTTTAAAAAGGTGTATGACTAAAAATCCAAATGATATCCTTCTGAATCAAACACAATTATTTTTCTCCCGTGAAATACACAACTTTTAAAAATGGCGGCCGCTGTCATTTAACAAATCCAGGTCTAATATTCGCAGTAAGTAACGGAAATATGGATGAATGGATCGTTGGACTTTTTCTCCTACTATAATGGTTTGTTTTTATCATTTAAACAAGCGATCATTCATTTTTTTTAAATTAAATGAATAATGTCACCGTCATTTAAGTTGATTGTCGACCACGACTTCTTGTATTCAATGAGAAATTTCGACTAAATGAGACTCTCAATGGGAAAAGCAGATTTTAATATTTACGATAATATTATGGAAATTTCGTTTTACCTTGTTTTTAAACATAAAAAATAATTTTAATTAAAAAAACTAAGTAAACTGGTTTGAAGAATCTGTGGAACTTAACATTTCTATAAGTGTCGCATACCCCGCTGCATTGATGTTTTATGCAACTTGAAGAGAAAGCCTCGAACATTCATCAACAATCTCTTGAATGTTTTCAATAGGTTGTTCATTCATGGTTTCGTGCTCGACGTTTCCGCGTATTAAATCTTCCAAAAACTGATTTCAGTAATCAAACTCCGGCAAACAACACACAACTTTGACAACCCGACTTTGTTTTACAGTGTCCGTAATTGTGTCATTCGTGTTTCCGCCCCGCGACCGCGCTAAGCGAAAAGTCGAGAATTAACAAGTTAAAACGGCGGGTCGCGGGTTTAATAAATAAAACTTCGCCCCGCGGGGGCGCGGGACGAGATTTAAGAAATAAAATAGCGGGGGTGCGCTAATAAGCGTGTTTTCGCTCCGCGCCCCGCTATTTTAACTTGTAAATTATCGTATTTTCGCTTGGCGAGGTCCGCTGATTACACGCTAATTAGTTTTATTTATTTAACTTCGCCCCGCGACCTCGCTATTTAGCGTGTTTTCTTCTCGCGACCCTGCCGTTTAATTTTTTAAATCTCGCTCAGCAACCCCGCGGGACGAAGTTTTATTTATTAATCTTCGCCCGCGCCCTCGCCTATTAGAGTGTTTTCGCTCCCCGCCCCCGCCATTTGAAACTTCTTAATTTCGACTTTTCGCTTGGCGGGGTCGTGGGGCGAAAACACGAATGATGCAAATCAGCCACCATAGTAATACGATATTCCGTCGAGTACTTAAAAGTATACTAAGAAGTCTAGCCTACGCTAAAAAGCTTAGCATTTAAGCCATATTATGTAAATGTTCTTATTTGTTGAGTTAGTTTATTTTATTCTACCATTAATTTTACAAATTTACTTATTAATAAATAAAGCAAATATTATTTTATAAATACATGTAAAAAGTACATCATTTATATTCTTCATGTAAAATTAATTACGTTGATAGTATTGACAAAAATTCAGTGGAGTGCCTTTTATTTAAACTAAAAAAAAATACCAAAGCAGATCTTTAATTGACACTGTATACAGAATTTATATCTTAACGAAAATTTGTCATTATTATGGGCCATAACTCAAAAACATAATTAAATTCGATAAAATATTGCAAAAAGAGAGTCGGATCCCTGTTGTGTGGAGGTGAATATTGGCCCAAACAGTAGGGCGGACGACGCCAATACTATATCAAAATGTCTTTTGTCTAACATAAATTGTTTTGGAATGAAAAGACGGATATAAAGGGGCTTTTGTGTGAGACAAATATGTGAGAAATGATATACATTTGTAGAATGCAGACATTGCCCTTAATTATTCACGACTAAGTGAATGATACCTGGAACTTGACAAGTTTAAAGCAAAAATGTTTGTTTGAAGTGCGAATGCAGTCTTTGATGTTCTTCTAACTTGGCATTAAGATTCATTCTTTTCAGACAAAACATTTTGTAAGCACGATTCGTCTATTCTAAATGCCCAGCAACCACAGATTCTTGCCCGTCTTGCTTCTGAGAAGACGCGTTTTAAATCTGAACATTTTTAAGGTGATTTTATGACAGGAAAATGTTCGATTGGAGAGGCGTTGAAGCAAAACCTATCTTATTAGGTGTCTGCTTTTTTACAATGCTCCTCGGCATGATACCTGCTTTTTCCATTTCTTGGACTAAATACAGCTTTGAGGGCAACTCCGTGGAACCCAGGTGTTTTTATAAAGAAGAATTTGTTGTCAACGACGTTCCTGATTCATTTGCATGCAGCAAGATGTGTTACCTGAACAATAAATGTCCCTCGACTTTCTTTCAACCGGAAAGTCATCGGTGCATTGGATGTCAGGTGTTTCTGAAAGGTGCTCCTCTGCCGACATCTACAGGATCAGTACAATATTCACACAGAGGTATGTGGAAGAGAACTTTCTCATTTATCTGTTTAGCAATGACCTGTTTTTATGCTTAAGCAGATTGTTTTAAAAAAGAATAGCTCTTATGAATTGTTCCCTTTCCTATCTACTTTTTTATGTTACAGACTTTTGACTTAAACACAGATTATTGTTGTTTTTTTTTCTTTGGGTAAGGGTGATTGCAGGGGTTGACTTAAAATCAAAATTACCATTATGGTTTCAGACTACAACATTGATTGTAAAGACATTCTGGAGGGAAATGAGGGTGCCGAAAATGGCGTATATCAGATAACTTTGCAGAACTCGGAAACAAAACAAGTTTATTGCGACATGACAACAGACGGCGGGGGCTGGACGGTATGCTCTAATTTCTTAAACTAATAACAGAGTATTTTCAAAATAACTAGTACACTTTATGAATCAAAGAATGGATGCGTGCTTTGTATTTTGTACACATTTATATAAAGCTCATCATATCTTAGACAAGTATTAATTTTAGTACTTTTCATGTGACGTCAAAGCGCTAGACTGTGTCTCGCGTGAATTATTGTCTACCACAAAGGCTGCGATGTCGCAAAAACACGTCTGCGACACGTTTCATAAAATATTCGTACGACGTTATCGCAGACGTACGACAGCGACAATAACATGTCGTAGACTACGAAACGTTGATAAAACGTCCACCTGGTCTCTTAGTACAAAGCATTTTAATTCTTAGCCTGCTGAAGGCGATTGGTTTTATACAGCGAACAGTACAGACCAAGGTCATACGGTCGCAAATATCCCGGATCGATCATAGTCTACGTTCTTCGCTATTTAAGTTATTTTAAAAATACTTTCTAAAAAATATGAAATTTATAGTTGTTATCCACCTTGAAAGATTGACACGCCAAATATAAGAAATATATATTTAGCATGGAAAGGATTAAAATATCAAAAATGTGTTTTTGATATTATGAATGGATAGCATTTCACTGATACACATTATGACTTTATGTGCTTAATTGTTTTGCTTTATCAATAAATTTTTCAGGTTTTCCAAAACCGGTTTGATGGCTCGGTTGATTTTAATAGAAACTTCTCAATGTTTGAAAACGGATTTGGTGATATCAACGGTGAATTCTGGCTCGGTAAGCTTCATTCATTCTTTTTCAGTTTGAATTACAGATTTTTGTTTACTTAAATTTCTGACTCGGAGAGCATTGTACTGATTTTGAGACAGCAAAGTCAATTCATTATACATAATTAAGAAATATTTAATGTTTCGGTGTAGCGTTATTGTCACATGCGATGTAATATAACCACCCGTATGATTATAACGCGACACCGGATCACACTCTTTTTATAAACATGAATTCGCTCCGAAGGATACTGTTGTCTCTAAAATGGAATGGTGCGAACCTTACTTACAATTGTTAGACTTATGTGTCATCGCGATTTTAATCACCAAATGCACTCACCATATCTGACAACATTATAGAGATCACTTTCCCTTTCAAAGGGGTCATACCTCGTTTTTGTCCAAAATATCCAAAATATTGAAAAAGTGTTCGCGGTATCAGAATTTTGAGGATGCGCGCGCTGAGTATGACACCCTTGTTTTTAGGCCACAAGGTCGCTGTTATTATTTGCTTGATTGTAATGTCGAATAAAGTTAAGAGAGAAAACAAATTTTAGAGTGGATTTTGTTGATTTTTACAATTAATTTTGTGAAGAATTAGTCGTCTTAATAGAGGGTTTTAATTGTATAAGGCAGCGGAAAACAAAGGCATTTCTTTCTGTGGTTAATTCAGTTTGGCTGCTGTGATCCCAAGGGTAAAGAAAAGCTCACGAAATTTCCTAAGCCTAAAAGTGGATTGGTTTATTCAACTTTAAATTCTAATTTAGGTCTAAAGTATGTACAGGAACTCGCGGAATTGCCGACTGAACTTTGGTATGATGTGTCACTTAATACTGATGATCGTGCACATGAAAGATACGATCGTTTCAAACTTATTGGCGAAAGTTACATACTTTTCCTAGATGCAGAATCTGCAGAGAAAACAGGTAATAGTATTCAGATAACATCATCTTATCATCTGAAAAACAACAACAATTATGTTGTACATGATATTTTCGTTTTTATTTATCATTTTTAATTTTAGCTTTTGTTGTTTATTTGGTATGTGTGTAGTTGAGTCGTCCAATAATAGATTAATTCTTTGATATATGATACATTTTTGTTGTGGCTATTTTTTCTTTAGATCGGCCACCTCTAATGTAGTTAAAACGCCAAAGCGATGTGACGACACGCTCTAGTGAAATGACAATGCATTTTGGCATATCGTCGGTCACGGCACATCGTATTGGCACATGGCACATCGTATTGGCACATCGTATTAGCACATCGTATCGTCTCATGAACACGATGCGTCGAAAGGACGAGGCGATAAGACGATGCAATAGTGCGACGAGACAATGCAATGACACAATGTATATTTTCCATTTTGGCTTTGACGTATCGTCTTGTCGCGTAAGCGTACATGTATACGGATTTACACCAGCTGCCCATAAAGACTACAGGCCTTACCATAATTGCCATGCTAATAATGGTCAAATTATCATAAAATAGTCACCCCTTGATCATCAAGAACAAAATTACTATCCAGCACCCATTATTTACTGTGTAAAATGTTTACACTGTACATATTTTATGCCATCAAAATTTTCCAAATCCACCACTATAGTAGACATACGTTAAGCTGCTTACCATGGGTAAGAAATTATTCCAAACAGGTTGAAACATCGAATTCCAGTTATTTATAACGGGCCATTATTAAAAGTTATATGAACGCGCAATTTAACTTAATTCAAATACACATTTTTCTTCAATTTGTCCGCCATGCTGCTGTCAAATGAAATGGAAGGTTTTCATTGGCTTATTCAATGCGCATGACGTAATGGTGGCAATATGTACTCAAGCAATAATGTGATAAAATTGATGTAATATTGCATGCTTTAGTGACATAAATGTCACCCTTGCAATTTTAAAGTATTTTTTCACTTTTTATATTTCATTTAACGTAAATGAAGATAGACGGCTCAATATTTTACGGTTACTAAAAGATACATGTATATATACATTGAGCTATGTTTGCACATTTAATTATGAAAATATGCCTCATTTTTGAAAAATGCGAGATAAAATGTTAACGCGTCTGGGGAATATGCTACGGCGAGTTATATAGCTTGTATATATATTTTATACTGTATAGTAAACAGTAAGCTGGATAGCAATTTAGTTCTTTCTGGTGAAGGGGTGATTATTTTATGATAATTTGACCATTATTGGCATGGCAAATGTGCCGAACGCCTATGCTATAGACTCAAAAATAAACTGTTTATTGTGATAACGGGGCTCTGCTAGTAATTCACAAAGGCGCGTCTGAATCAGACAGGTTTTTTCTAGCCCCGGAGTTACTGTCCGATTTCAAACAATATCGTGCAGATGTTTCGGCGTAAAGTTTCGTCCATGCGATGTTTTAGGTTTACCAGAGGTCACCAATGCAAAGAAGCAATTGCCCAAACGCAACACTACATTATATGGTGGCTGATTTGGAACACCTTTTTGCATCGTGTTGTCCCTAGCGACAGCACGACAAAAGCCCAAACGGTGCGTTGTCGGACTTTCGTCTTGTCGTCTTGTCGAAAACGATGCAGGCCAAACAGCGCGTTGTCATGCGGCGTTTTGTCGCGATGCCACATTGTAGCTCGGCTCAAATCGAAGGATTTTCTTTTTGTATATGCAGAAGCCATGCGACAGAACGACATCACGACAACTCGCCGCCGCACGACAACACGCCGTTTGGCGTGCTTCTCTCGTGACAGGACGACAAGACGACAGTGTGGCAACGAGCCACTTGGCGGTTTCGCTAGAGACAAGACGAAAAGGCGATAAAGATATAAGGTGTTTTGTCGCTATCGACAATGAATCGCGCAAAGTGTACCAAATCTATGGTGGCTGATTTAATACGCTTTTTATGCGTCGTGATGTCGGACCTTTGTCTTGTCGCTAACGTTGCACACCAAACGACGACAACAGCGTTGTCGTTCGACTTGTTTTTGCAATATCACATTGTCGATCGGCACAAATTGAAGGATTGGCTTTTAAGCCAAGCGACAGGGTTACATCGCGACAACGCGACACACGACAACATGCCATTTGGTGTGCTTTGTTAGAGACAGTACGACAAGACGACAGTGCGCCCGCGCCGTTTGGCATTCTTCTCTAGCGACAAGACGACAAGACGAAAAGGCGATAACGATATAGGTTATGTTGTAGTTATTGACAACGCAACGCGCAAAGTGTACCAAATCAGCCATACAAATCAGCCACCATAGCATTCTTATCACAATACAACATGTTTGATTTGACTGTTTTTCTTTTTATGCAAATAACTAGTATGTCAAATTACGTCACAAGATACATCAAAACCCAAGCAATTAACGTACAAAGAAATGTCGCAACGACGCTTAATGTCGCAACTACCGCTAAATATAGCTAAAACCTCAAAGCTAAATGTCAACATTTTAACGTGAAATGTCGTTCAATGTTGCGACATTTTTTTCGGACAAGATTTTGCGATATTTAGCGGTAATGATCCTTGTTTCTTCATATTTTTGTACGAAGTATTTCTTTGCTGTTTCAATATAAATGTTATCGGATAAGTTATTAAATAGATTGTTTGAAGATAGATAATGCAAACAATATCAAATATTTAGTTAGAAGCAAATAAATGTACTTAAATTTTTATTATTAAATTTATATTTTATAGGCCTTGCGACCTTTGCCAAATATGGTTTCGCAATTCTGAATGGAACTGAATTTGTACCCTACTATCCAGACCTTTCACAATACTGCCGCAGTTGGTGGGGGCGAAGTGCTGACCCGTGCATGTACATCAATTTCAACAAGGAATATGGCGACAACATATTTTTGTTCGACCAAGCGTATAGTCCATTAAAAACGACTCGAATGATGATACGGAGAAAATAGAACAGAAGGCATTTTGACATAACCGACGAAGACCTTATTGAATTGCAGTGACCAATAACTCAGCATATAAACCTTTGATAGTCTGGAGCTTAGAGGTTATTAAATGTCAATTCAATGTTTGAGGTAGATTGAGAGACCACTATTGCGATATAAGACATGTATGAATATTGTGTATTTTATTTTTGTACCTCACTTAACTAACTTTTAACTTTTATAATTTCTCAAAAAAAAAATGAAAAGTAAAATGTGACATGACAAAATCAGCAGTAAGTTTTACTTTTATTCTGTTATTCTGTACAACAAATCTAAAATAACTAACTATTTTTAGATTAAAATGCTCATGATGACATCATCATTAAAACTTTTTTTAAATCATTTAACATTAATTTTGTAGAACTTTTCTTTGACATACTTGCTGGAATGCATGGTTTACAACAATATAAACTATGTACGAAAAATATATCAAATTGAATGGCTAGTAATGTTTTGTACAGAAATTCTTCCGTTTTAAAAAGTGGTCAATATGTTATCAATATCCTATATATTGTAAATTTACATTGTAGTATTTCGGTCACTATTTTAAGTGTCTCCTAAAATTGACGCCTCTTTTTCTAAATTTGTATCAAATTCTCTTGGAAAAAAAAACAAAAATTGAAATTGATAGACAAAAGTATTTCAAACTAAGACACTTAGCTAAAAGTTGACAATGGTGTAAATGTTTGAATTGCTCAATAGAATTTTGTTTTAAGATAATAATAATTCAAAAATAATGTTTATTCCTTTAAACAATTTCATTCCCCAAGCGTTTTTTCTTGACTATACATAAAAATCTTTTATTTACTCAGACTTTGATTCATATTGTGTTGATAAAAGTTTATAAAAGTGGAACTTGTTGTTTTATGCATGTTGGAAATAATATTAAAGCATCCGATTTTACAAGAAACGGGAAAATTCTCGAATAGTCAGCCCAACAAATTTGACAAAGGCCACAGCACATCCTATTTGGCCACTCCGCAGTAATTTCCTCAGATGTCCCACACGTGAAGTATAGGATCGGTTTATTCACAGGGATGTGAAGAATATGATTATTGAAAAGAATTGTTTTGACAGGTGGGTTAAAATACAACGCCTGAAGAACGCCTTTCCGTACAAATTAAGGGAAGCCTTGTGCATTTGAGGTCGGGCGTGTACATGCCATTGTCAAAGTTGACCACACTAATAAGTTTAAGGTTAACTTTAATAGTTTGTCCAGGCACCGGTTCTCCATCTCCATCGTACAATCGCACTCTCTACTATTTCTTATAGTATCTAATCTCTTGGTAACTCATAACATTTTGGCCATTCTAGTAACGTAGCTAGGTCGAAATTCGAGTTACTAAGTCGGAATTTCGAGTAAGAAGGTCGAAATTTCGAGTTAAAAAGTCAGAATTTCGGTTAGTAAGTCGAAATTTCGAGATAAGTAACGCGTAATTTCGAGTTACTTACTCTAAATTTCGAGTTAAAAAACACCTGGAACTAATGCTCTTCCGTACAAAAGAGAGCGTGTCAAACGATATAAAAAAATAACGTTCCAAATGGTAATTAGTTTATAATTAAGGGCCACACCAGCATGGTGTCCTCTGAATTTGGAATTTTCATATAGATTTGTCGGCAAATGCATAATTTATGTAAATATTTATTTACTATTATCATGTTAATCATATGCTTGAAATATATCATATATGCTCAGCATAAATTTCATGCATAGGGGACGTATAGGTCTAATCAACCGGTTGTCCTTTTTTATATATTGATGTGTATATATAAAATTATATTTGTAAAGCATAAACCTATCAAAAAGAATTTACTGAGCTTATATATATGTTTTAATTATACAATGCACACGTATTTCTTATATTTTCCTCATTTGTTTTACGTATAATTGTGGAGTGATTGTAATAAAATTCTTAATATTACATTGTTGTGTGTTTATTTAAAGATTGAGTGTATCCAACGAGGTTGAAATGATAGTGTATGTTTTGTTGAAGAATGAGTGTGTCCCATGAGGTTGAAATGATAGTTGATATTTTGTTGAAGCATGAGTTTATGTAATTGTAGTGTACGTTTTGTGTTGAAGAATGTGTGTATCGTATGAGGTTGTCACCATCGTGCACGTTTTTTTGAAATTTGGGTTTTACGTCACACCGACGCAGTATATGTCATTCGGCGACGTTCCAACTTTACTGGTGGAGGAAGACCTCAGGTGCCCTTCCATGCATTATTTCAGGCACGAACGGGCACCTGAGTAGAACCACCGACGTTCCGTAAGCTAGCTGGATTATTTAAATATAAGCCTTTATAAACGGTAATCGCGTGACATTGCAAAGATAGCTTATGTTTTGTTGAAGAATGAGTGAATCCCGTGAGGTTAAAATGATTAGGGCTGGGGCGAGTATCCGAGTACTCGGATAATCACGAATCAAAGTGAAAAATCGAGTTTGAATATTCGTAAGCCCAGAGATCGTGGATCGCGATCTTATTTGTTTATATACATTCACTGTTTCTCACACACTAAAAGTCGAGAAAAATACGATTTGAGTATAAATTATGGGAAGTTTACCTAAATACAATTTGCCGGTTAAAGACCATGTACCATGATGCCGAGCTAGGAAGTAATTGGTTTCAAAAAACAAAACAAAAATACTCATCCAAAGAATAAAAACATAAACCTGGTTGCATATATGTTTAATGTTTAGTATTGTTTTTTTTTTTAAATAAACATGTTTTTAGAACTAATGTACATGTTTTTATGGGTGTCTTGATAACAAAAGATTTGTGGTTCGATTTATGAATCGTAAGTGCTGAATCGTGGATCGGATCGTCACTTATCCGACGATCCACACCCCTAAAAATGATAGTGTATGTTTTGTTGAAATATGAGTGTAACCCATGCAGTTGCAAAAATTGTTTGTGTTTTGTTGAAATATGAGTGTATCTCATGCATGAATAATGACATAGTAGAAAGGTTATTTACTAGTAGGCTCCCTAGTTAGCTTGTGTTCTAGAAGAAAAAAATCGAGCTAATTATGATCGTTGCGGTGTCGGCGTTGTCTTCGTCGTCAATGACGTCAACGTTATCGTTATGCAAAATCTTTAATGTAGGTAATAACTCGAACAATTTTAAAGGTATCATTATACACATGAAATTCTTGCTTAGCATGACAAAAGGCAGGTGTAAGACAAGGGGCATAATTTTGGAAATTATGTTTTTTCTTCTTTTTTTATGAGATGTGTGAAGTTAGCGGCCCAGCCGCCAAGCGGCCCAGCCGCCAAGCGGCCCAGCCGCCAAGCGGCCTGGCTGCGTGAAGTTGGCGGCCTGCAGCTGGCGGAATAAAGTTGGCGGCCGGGCGGCCCAGAAGTTCTTAAGACAATTCTTATTGTTTAAAGGATATATAAAAAGAATTTTTTTATTTTATCATTTTTTTGTGATGTTAGCGGCCCAGCAGCTGGTGGCCAAACATTTTAATGTTGCAGAAATGTTATTTGAACAAGAAAACGGCATTTAATGAAGTTCTAAAGACAAGTCTTGTTATTTAAAAGATATAAAAAGTAAAAATCACTTTTAGAAAACTGTTTTCTTTTACCATTTTTGTAAAGATGGCGGCCTGGCAGCACAGCGGCCTAAAAATTTAATGTTGTAAAAATTTGGAAAAGAATTGAAAAACGACTCTTTAATTAACTTTTAAAGACATAACTTTTCATTTAACAATTATATAAAAAAAAATCACAATTAGAAAGTTTTTTTTCTCTAGCGACATGGCAGCCGGAAATAGAAATGTTATAAATATGATAAAAACGGGACTTTATGAAGTTCTTATGAGTATTCCCGATATTTAAAAGGTATATAAAAATAAGAACAAAAAAAAACACTTTTAGAGAACTTTTTTATTTATCATTTTTGTGAAGTTGTAAAGAAATGGTATTTTATGAAGTTCTTGTTATTTGAAAGATTTATACTTTGAGAGATCTTTTATCTTTTTTGTAAATGTAGATTATGGTGGCATATTTCTGCCACCAGATAACCTGATAACTAACTAGTTAATTAAGAGGTTAACTTGTTACATAACTAGTTGACCTGATAACTTACTAGTTAATTAAGAGGTTAACTAGTAACGTAACTAGTTAACCTGATACCTAACTAGTTTATTAAGAGGTTAACTAGTTACGTAACTAGTTAACCTGATAACTAACTAGTTAATTAAGAGGTTAACTAGTTACGTAACTAGTTAAACTGATACCTAACTAGTTAATTAAGAGGTTAACTAGTTACGTAACTAGTTAACCTGATAAGTAACTAGTTAATCAAGAGGTTAACTAGTTACGTAACTAGTTAACCTCTTAATTAACTAGTTAGATATATGGTTATCTGGTGGCAGAAATATGCCACCATTGTAGAGGCCTAAAATGGAATTTTAGTGATATACGTATATGGTACACCTGGGATTCAGGCGTTGATATATTTTGCTTATTCATTATATACGCGTTATTTCATACTTATTCGTGTTTTTGATAATATCGACTTGCCGAACAGAAGCACATAAAAACGCGTTATTTTAGACTTGATCGTGTGTTTGATGATATCGATTTGCCGAACAGAAGCGCATAAAAAATTGATAGACTGGAAACGCAGGCTAATGTATGCTGTACAATTTCTGTAACAAACCTGAATCGTCCTTAATGAAGTTTTAAAACATTTTTTTCGGGTCCCATCCAATTTATTTCCCCCGTCTAAACCATGAGTATAGCACGGGGGAGGAAGTGTTACACGAAGGATTGAGTTCTTATGATAACTTGTTTGGAGTTCTTATGATAACTGTCACGGAGTTCCTGGAAAACGTTACGGATTTCTGTGGAAAACTTTTCTATATACTTGGAGAACTCGCGTAAAAAACGGTTATTTTTATCTTTAAATGGGGAGTTTGAGGTGCTTAATTAACTTTGATAATTAAGCTTGCCCTACATATTGTATTATGTTTCAGAAAAAATCTTTTAGTCCATATTTCGTCGCCGTTTTAAAAAAATGTGGTAGTTTTGAGAAAAATTTCCAAATTACTTGCTAATTCGTACATATTGACCTTTTCATTTGTGATCTTCTTCGTTGCTATACATAATCACCTAATCATAGTGGAGAGTTGCAAACATAAAGCCCGGGCTAATAAATGTATACCCGATTTTTCAAATGTTACGGAGTTCTTGTGATAACTCAAAATATGTCCTGGAGTTCTTATGATAACCTTTGTTACTGCCAGTGTGTTTCTTGTGCTTAATTACGGCACGTTAAAGCGTATTTTATTAGTCAGTAGTACGCTTATCATTTGCACAAAAAATTGGTTATATAACGTAGGTTTTGATCGTGTTTTAGTTCCTAATGAAATTTGTGCGAAATCATATTGACATTATAAAACCCAACGAATGCACTAAATGTTTCTGTGTATACTGTTCGTCAACAAAAGTTTTATGTCATATATTTCCGCAAATGCAACATTGAGGACATGTGGCAAAATTAAAACACGATCATTCAATATATCTGGAGAAGACATGAAACTGCTTTGGTGTACAGTCTACATAGGATAAACAGTCGATGACTTCTAATCCAGTTACCTCTTTGGCGTGGGTTCGATCCCCGGGAGATGCTTTGGTAGTTCAGCACGGAGGAAGGTAGTCTAGTACTGGTGTAACTCTCCAGGAACGATGGTTAGGAAACTACCCGCCCATATGACTGAAATACTGTTGGGAAAAGGCGTAAAATGAAACAAACAAACAAACAAAATCTTCAGGAAAACCTGAATCAGCGGTCACCTGTATTCAGCAGTAACATGGCTTAAACCGCAAAGGAAAAATTGTTTAAAACTTACACTTTTTTCTCAGTTACATGTTTTAAGCAACCACCTTTCTAAAGCAGACAATAAGTAGTTGGGCTTCCCTCAAGAAGCGGCTAAGTAAATTGTATCATTATATACCATGTATCGTATATAACCGGGATACCCTTCACACCCATGCACCCGAAATGTATGATCTTTTTATGCATAAAAAATCAACCGATTACTACCGATCTCTTCGACAGATTTGCACGTGCCCTACGGGTTCGAGCGAAAGAAGTTCGACAATATATTTTTGGTATCAATTACAGCAAAAGTTGTTGCAAAATTTCCACAACTAGGACTCAAACTTTGATGCAGTAATTTTCCGAAATATGGAGATTGCTGTACGTCACGTGATGCTACATTAGATTTAATAGAGAAAGGAACAAGGTCGATAAACGGCATGAACCTTACGGTGACTCACATATCTTATTGAAGACTTACTTTCTATCGTCATATCATTGTCATAGAACTTTATACGTTTCTATGACAAAAACTGATACCTTTTAGAAATTGAAATACCCGTTGAATACATAAAGACGACACCCGCCTCATTTAAATTTAGATAAAGGTAGTGCATACTACTGTACCTCCTATTTTGCTGAAAATCATTTACATGCATACCGATAGTTACTTAATGTTCTCTAAAACTGCAAGGAATAATGTATATATGATGAAATCATGCTTGAGTATTAAATTCAAAGCGTATTTCAATAAAATAAAAAAACACACACAAAAAGACCAAAACAAACACAAAAAAACACAAGAAACGGAGGTAAGAAAAATATCTCTTGAACTGAAAAACACGATCAAAACCAACGTTATATAACCAAATTTTTGTGCAAATGATAAGCGTACTATGCTTCATAATGATTTACACACTAATTGACTAATAAAATACGCTTAAACGTGCCGTGATTAAGCACAAAAACACACTGGCAGTAACAAAAGTTATCATAAGAACTCCAGGACATATTTTGAGTTATCGCAAGAACTCCGTAGCATTTGAAAAATCGGGTATACATTTATTAGCCCGGGCTTTATGTTTGCAACTCTCCATAATAATTAGGTAATTAAGTATAGCAACGACGAAGATCACAAATGAAAAGGTCAATATGTACGAATTAGCAAGCAATTTGGAAATTTTTTTCTTAAAACTACCAGATTTTTTTTTAAAACGGCGACGAAATATGGACTAAAAGATTTTTTTCTGAAACATAATACATGTAGGGCAAGCTTAATTATCAAAGGTTAATTAAGCACCTCAAACTCCCCATTTAAAGTTAAAAATAACAATTTTTTACGCAATTTCTCCAAGTATATAGAAAAGTTTTCCACAGAAATCCGTAACGTTTTCCAGGAACTCCGTGACAGTTATCATAAGAACTCCAAACAAGTTATCATAAGAACTCCATCCTTCGTGTAACACTTCCTCCCCCGTGTATAGGTCAGGTAAGCATCCTTTACTGACTTTACAAAATAACTTTTCCTTACACATTCATTAACAATAACTCATGAATATAGCATGGGGTTATGGTCGTACCCTAATGATTATTTCCTTGTTATTGGATGAAACTGAAAAGTTGGAAAAAATGCATTAATGGTTGGGATTCCGATTGCACAAGTGTAAATTAGTCGTTATTCAGTTGAAATATCGTTTTCAGATTGTATTGAATGTTTCCATGTTATCATTTTAACGCCATATTTTGTTTAAGTTCAATACGTGATCTGGAAGTTTTTAAACATTGGTTTGTATTAATATTTGTTTATGTTGTATTTTGCTTGTAAATGTATGTTCGTGAAAATGGCAGCCTAATAGCCTATCAGCCTGAAGTTGGCAGCCTAGCAGCCTGAAGTTGGTAGACAAATAGCCTGGCAGCCTAAAGAAAACTAAGGGTAGTACAAACATGAAAACCGTCGGAAATACATCAGTATATCAGCCCTTCCTTAGATCATCACACGCCTTTTTTCAATATCGTGATCTTTATTTTTTAAGATGTTGAACTTTATCTTAACATAATTTTTTCATTCTGACGCTTCGAAATGTGTGAAGTTTAGCCGCCTAGCAGCCTAAAGAAAACTAAGGATAATACAAACATGAACACCGTCGGATATGAATCGGAAGCACATACTTAGACCATTCCAAGTCTTATTTTAATATCGTGATCTTCATTTTTTAAAATATTGAACTTTTTTTTGTTTTCATTTTGACGCTTCAAAATTTGTTAAGTTAGCAGCCTGACAGCCTAAAAAACTAAGGATAGTACAAACATGAAAACCGTCGAAAATGAATCGGTAGCACATACTTAGACCCATTCCACACCTTATTTTAATATCATGATCTTATTTTATTTTTTTAAGATATTAAACTTTGAAAGATTGTTTCCCTATATTAAATGTTTTCTGCTCTTATTTATCTTTTCTTAAACCAGTATATAGCGACCTCATACTTAAAGCAAATGACATTCATATTCAATATCACGTCTTCTGCAAGTAAAATCATTGATTTGTCAGAATTCTACTTATAACGACAAGATTGTATAAGCAATGGGTGGGTGGATATCTTTTTTCTAAAATTAAAAGCATCTAGGGTTAACCATATAAAAAAACTAATTCATAACATAATTAATTTAGAAAAATTTTTTTTTCAACTTTTCAGTTTTAAAGCAGTCAATTTAAAAAGAAAAAAAAACCCAAATTTTGATAATGTTGGAAAAAAAAAAAAAAAAAAAAAAAGATAGTTTAAAAAGGTTTGGCAAAAAAGCCATCCTTTTGTGAAACTAGAATTCTTACGTTAATATTCAAACATATTTGGATTAACGTAACCTTGTCACTGATAATAGTTTGTAAATTTGTGAATATTTATGAACAAAATGCTGCGCAATCGTGTTGGAGACATAAGTAAACATCACGAATGTTAAATCTAACATTTCTCTTAAGGAAACATGTCTCTAAAAAGGCCTTGTTGTAGACCTTTCTTTTGATCCCGTTATCATTTTATTTCAACATCTAGAAAACTGTAAACCAAGGCAGTTTTGTGTTAGATTTGGTTTCGTTTTTCAAGGAAAGGCAATCTCACGCAGTCAAATTGTGTCAATTTTATGCCTGAGTCTGTTTTAAAAAGGTTTAGATGATAGTTTTTTTGGTTATCTTAGTCCAATCAATGCTAGTTTTTTTGGTTATCTTAGTCCAATCAATGCTTAATGAACATCTCTATATTATGCATGTAGTATACCGATGCATGCAGTTGAATTCCATCGTCTTGCACCAGTTCACTTATTTCGCTTAAGTATAACGAATTTTCATTTTCTCAAGAAAAACAGTGCTCGCTAGATTAACATTGTTTACATTATGTAAATTTAAAGTCACGAAAGGAAATGTTATCTAACGATCGCGTCATAGTGTCAGTACATATAATACTAGAACTGATGCGGCACTTATTTCAGTGTCACTATAATCGCCGTGCTATCAATAACCATGCGTGTTCTTCTTTTAGCTGTTCTTGTAGCTTTGACTGGTTAGTATTTCAGATCTAATTCCTCTGTATTACATTTGTACCAACAGTAAATAATTAAGTTGCTGTTTCTTTGAAATGCATCGACGGTAAGTCATTTATATTTTGTTATTTATCGAGTAAAGATATGTACGTTAATTATGTTAAATGCCGAGTAAAACTGTATACGACTGTAAGTGACATAAATGTTATTTCTGTATGGCACAAAGTCGTGCATCAATTTCGACGGAACGTACTCATAATGCTAGTTTTGTTTTCCTTTTATGATACTATTTTCTCAAGTAAGATGCCGGTGTGTTTAAGTGACAAAATTAGCACTAAATTAAGTTTAATTGATTTCTGTCAAACGCACATTGTTCTATAGTTATGACGTGAATAGACCAAGTTAGGGAAGATGTACAGACATGACACTTCAATGCTTCAAAAACGTGGTAACCAGGCTATAAAATGTTCATATCTCTATTATTTCTGAAAGACGCTTTTCACGTGGTGACTTGATATAGAATTAGGACATTTTGGAATCTTTGTCGTCCCCTCCGTACATCCTTGTTGTTGCATGACAAAGAAATCGACGAAAGACATTTGTAAAATACACAAAATAAGATGGACACTAAAAGTAAAGCTATAGACGCATCTCGTATACGGCAAACATGCTGCCAATGCCCTGACTGAAGCCGAGTGGAAAAGCTGTACAATGAAGGTATGGAAGACGATGAAGTGTACATAAAGGCTATATGTTAATGTACGTTTACAAGCTTACGGAACGTCGGTGGTTCTACTCAGGTGCACGTTTGTGCCTGAAATAATGCACAGAAGGGTACCCGACAGTAAAGTTGAAACGTCGCCATATGACCTATACTGTGTCGGTGTGACGTAAAACCCCATCAAACAAACAAACACACAAACTGTACGTTTAGGTGCTCATTGGGCGCTGTACGGTGACCTTCTTTCTACTCAAAAATCTTTTTTTTTTATTAATACTTATTTGCACGGCAGTAAATTATCGCCAATTTGTGCTGCAATATTAGCTTAGTAGACACGACTGGTGATATGCATGTGTTCGTACTCTGTACCGATTGCTTCATTTTACGTCTTAGACTAACGCTCGTTAGCCCAAAATCGTTTTAAGCAATTCCATGTTTACATACCTTTTGCATATAGGCATGGAAAAAAGTAAAAGTGCTGGTCGGAAAACAAGTAAAACAATTATCGCCTACTGTCGTAACTCATGGCTTATAATACATGAATTATACGAATTAACATTGCCTAAATTAAATTTCTTATGCGATATCTACATTTATTTCAGTGTATGTGAGTGGTGAACCCTGTACAACCACACAACAATGTATCAACCACGGTATAACAACATGTGGGGGCGGCTCTCATGTGGTCTGTCATAATCACCAATGCGAATGTCTTACGAACTCCCAAGGTAAACGCTCAAAAAGTATTTCCCGCATTTTATAGTAAATTTATTCTAATGAAATAGTATTATTGGTATTCAATGTCCAAATATTATTAAAATTGACTGAATTTGTAACACTTTTTTTAAAATTATCAAATATTACGTCTTTCACGGTTAACATGCTGACGTGAGGACAAAAAAATGCGAGCCTAGCTTAAGATACCGATGATGCGTTTCAATGTTTTCAATGTTTAGATATTGAAAGTACATGCGTAGACAACTTGATATACAGTATATTTATGTCTTTGCCGCATAAAGTTATGTTTAAAAATATTTGTTGTTACAGGAAATACCTGCACTGATGTCAGTGATTGTCACTGTGACCATGGACATCCACATTGTATTGATAGACATTGTAGATGTACAAGATTCTAGACATTATTCTAAAATTCTTTATGAAAAAAAACATGTAGACAAATGTAAAATAAAAAAAAATGAAATAACTGTGAATTGCTTTATCCTTACATTTTGCTACACTATATGTTTGCGAGCTCGTGCGAGCTTGCTTGCGCGCATGCAAGCAACGTATGTGCTTGCGTTCATATTGTTTGTGCGCACCTAGGTATATTTATATCTAAATTGGTCCAAACGCCGAGAAGATCTTTCTTTTTATGCCCCCACAAAGTGGGGTGCATATAGCGTTGCACTTGTCCGTCCGTCTGTCCGTCCGTCAGTCCGTATGTCCGTCCGTACGTCTGTCCGTCCGTACGTCCCGAAATCTTGTGAACGCAACTCCACTTAAACCGGATGGCAGATTTTGCCTAAACTTTCAGGGATGAACAACCTTAATGTGTAGATGGTAGTAAAGGAAGGAATTTTTGCTGCGACCAAATTTAACAGAATTATGGCCCTTTGTTGATTTTTTCACTACAGTATATACTATGTAGAAATTTTGTGAACGCAACTCCTCTTAAACCGTATGGCAGATTTTGCTTAAATTTTCAGGGATGAACAACCTTAATGTGTAGATGGTAGTAAAGGAAGGAATTTTCTCTGCGACCAAATTTAACAGAATTATGGCCCTTTGTTGATTTTTTCACTATATACTATGTAGACATTTTGTGAACGCAACTCCTCTTAAACCAGATGGCAGATTTTGCTTAAACTTTCAGGGTTAAACAACCTTAATGTGTAGATAGTAGTAAAGGTAAGGAATTTTCACTGCGACCAAAATTAACAGAATTATGGCCCTTTGTTGATTTTTATGCCCCCACAATGTGGGAGCATATAGCGTTGCACTTGTCCGTCCGTCCGTCAGTCCGTCCGTCCGTCCGTACGTCCCGAAATCTTGTGAACGCAACTCCTCTTAAACCAGATAGCAGATTTTGCTTAAACTTACAGGGATGAACAACCCTAATGTGTAAATGGTAGTAAAGGAAAGAATTTTCGCTGCGACCAAATTTAACAGAATTATGGTCCTTTGTTGATTTTTTCACTAGATACTATGTAGAAATTTTGTGAACGCAACTCCTCTTAAACCGGATGGCAGATTTTGCTTAAACTTACAGGGATGAACAACCTTAATGTGTAGATGGTAGTAAAGGAAGGAATTTTTGCTGCGACCAAATTTAACAGAATAATGGCAATTTGTTGATTTTTTCACTATATACTATGTAGAAATTTTGTGAATGCAACTCCTCTTAAACCGGATGGCAGATTTTGCTAAAACTTACAGGGATGAACAACCTTAAGGTGTAGATGGTAGTAAAGGAAGGAATTTTTCGCTGCGACCAAATTTTACAGAATTATGGCCCTTTGTTGATTTTTTCACTATATACTATGTAGAAATTTTGTGAATGCAACTCTTCTTAAACCGGATGGCAGATTTTGCTTAAACTTCCAGGGATGAACAACCTTAATGTGTAGATGGCAGTAAAGGAAGGAATAATTGCTGCAACCAAATTTAACAGAATTATGGCCCTTTGTTGATTTTTTCATTATATACTATGTAGAAATTTTGTGAACGTAACTCCTCTTAAACCGGATGGCAGATTTTGCTAAAACTTCCAGGGATTTACAACCTTAATGTGTAGATAGTAGTAAAGGAAGGAATTTTTGCTGCGACCAAATTTAACAGAATTATGGCCCTTTGTTGATTTTTAGTTTTCAACTTGTGGCACATGTAGTCCAAAAAATATTTGACCTAGAGTCATAAGATTGACAGAACAGTGGCGTGTGGGGGCATCCGTGTCCTATGGACACATTTCTAGTTATTTATGTTTTGTTGAAATTAGAAACAAACCCTATTCATCAAATAGTTGTTGGCCTTTGATAGAGCTCCCCTGAGGACATATTTATTTATTTATTAATTTAAGTTTCATCTTTACATGTATGCATAAAAATATATATAAAGCATTAAACACAAACATAAAATACATGACAAGCAATTCTAAACATAATCACAGGGAATTCTGTCTTTTTTTCCCTTTCCCACTTTATATATAATATAACATTATATATTTAGATTTAATAAAATAATGACAGATTTCCCTGTGAACATAATTACAAGAGACTATTTACTTTTGCCTATAAGGGAGGCAGCTGTAACGACCATATCACAGCAGTTTACATGCGAATGGTAAGAAGACAATTTGATCATTATATGAGCCGTGCCATGACAAAACCAACATAATGGGTTTGCGACCAGCATGGATCCAGACCAGCCTGCGCATCCGCGCAGTCTGATCAGGATCCATGCTGCCCGCTTACAAACCCTATAACAAGTAGTGAATCTGATAGCGAACAGCATGGATCCTGATCAGACTGCGCGGATGCGCAGGCTGGTCTGGATCCATGCTGGTTGCAAACCCATTATGTTGGTTTTGTCATGGCGTGGCTCATATCATTTAACCTTGGAAAGTATATCATTTATTATACTTTATACTTAACATTCTTAAAATAATACCAACCTTAGTATATCAACGATTTGTTTTCTTCAACATAATTTACATGAACATCTATCTTTATCAATACAATACATTGGTTTAGTCTATGGATGTACATATGCAACACATACTAGTATTAATCAAATATATAATGTATATGGACATTCATACTTAGAATTATAAGTTAATTAATTACATTTATAAAACCATATCCTGTCAAATAATATTCCCGAAGACTGTTTTCAATGTAAGATTTTATAGTGCCCAATAAAATAAATCTAAGTCTATATAAACTATAAAATAATATTCACTATTTGAAAAAGTAAGTAACAATGTTTGGTATGTGTCAATAAAATACTAATGAATACCCCTAAGTTTTGAGTATTGATTTTGAATGTATTTCGTCCAATATACATTTAAGTGTATCATATACGCAAACTGACAGTATTTGAGGAAATAAATGTTGAAAAACAGAAACTTAGGGATAGACATGATCCCATAAAATTTATGACAGAAGTTACATTTTCTCAGAAATTTTGATTTTTGAAGGAGTGTGCAGATTTTATATACGTACAAGTAGTATGAACTATTAAGTGTGTATTCAGCTCAGTACTTATGCCAAAAAAAGTGAATTTATACGATTTCAAGTTGGAAATTTCTTGAATTTCTTTTTATCCATGAAAATAAATGTTCCTGTGTTTGTCAAAGTGACCGTCGAAGAGTCTGGACTCAAGTTCTCGGATGATTTGTCGTATGCGTCTATGTGTATAGGCCTATATAAATATTTATGTTTAAAACAAATGCCATATTTAGTTATATATTGTTTTCTTTAAATATTAAAAATAACTGTTAGATACAAGTTATATCACACTGTTTGAATTTTAGGATTGACATAGAATTCCCAATCTAAATATTTAAAGATATTTCAAAGGAAACATGACAGAAAATATCTTCATGGCGTCATATGGATAACCATGGTATACAAATTTAATTTTGATGACGTCTGAGGATTTTTAATTAAAAAATATAACAATCCACGTAGCAAAACAATATCTCTAACATTTGTATGGCATGTTAAACGTTGCAATATTCGATAAACAAGATATGTTTGTAAAACATGTATGCCCCCTATCGGCAGCCAATTAGTCATGTGATCAGGTTATTATGCATGACTTCTGACCCAGTGAACAAACAATTAATAAGGGTTATCAGTTATCTAGTATCTACTGGTCATGACTAGTCACAAGGTTATGTGAAGCAATTTAAGTTATTACAAATCTTACCAAATAATATATGCATAAATTTTATGAATCATGTAGGCCTCATTAATGACAGCCAAGTTGTTATATTACATAAGACCTTCAAATGTGTATACCAAAAGCATTTTTAGTTTAATTTAAAAATATCAACCAAGGCAACTTGAGTTGTTGAGTTATTGGTAAGAAACCGTTATTAAGTCAATGTCATATTAAACCAAGTTTGAAGTTCCTAGGCCTAAGCATTCTTTAGTTATTGATCGGAAACCATTTTACCTACAAGGTCAATGTGACCTTGACCTTGGACCCCTTGACCCCAAAATCAATAGGGGTCATCTGCTGGCCATGACCAATCATCATACCAAGTTTGAAGTTTCTATGCCTAAGCGTTCTTTAGTTATTGATTGGAAACTGGTTTTACCTACAAGGTCAATGTGACCTTGACCTTTGACACCTTGACCCAAAAATCAATAGGAGTCATCTGCTGGTCATGACCAATCATCATACCAAGTTTGAAGTTTCTAGGCCTAAGCGTTCTTTAGTTATTGATCGGAAACCGTTTTTACCTACAAGGTCAATGTGACCTTGACCTTTGACCCCTTGACCCCAAAATCAATAGGGGTCATCTGCTGGTCATGACCAATCATCATACCAAGTTTGAAGTTCCTAGGCCTAAGCATTCTTTAGTAATTGATCGGAAACCGTTTTTACCTACAAGGTCAATGTGACCTTGACCTTTGACCCCTTGACCCCAAAATCAATGAGAGGTCATCTACTGGTCATGACCAATCACCATGCCAAGTTTAAAGTTCCTAGGCCGAAGCGTTCTTTAGTTATTGATCAGAAACCGTTTTTACTTACAAGGTCAATGTGACCTTGACCTTTGACCCCTTGATCCCAAAATCAATAGGGGTCATCTGCTGGTCATGACCAATCACCATACCAAGTTTGAAATTCCTAGGCCTAAGCATTCTTTAGTTATTGATCAGAAACTGTTTTTACTTACAAGGTCAATGTGACCTTGACCTTTGATCCCTTGACCCAAAATTCAATAGGGGTCATCTGCTGGTCACGACCAATCATCATTCCAAGTTTGAAGTTCCTAGGCCTAAGCGTTTTTAGTTAATTGATCGGAAACCGTTTTTACCTACAAGGTCAATGTGACCTTGACCTTTGACCCCTTGACCCCAAAATCAATAGGGGTCATCTGCTGGTCATGACCAATCACCATACTAAGTTCGAAGTTCCTAGGCTTAAGGGTTCTTAACTTATTGATCGGAAACCGCTTTTACCTACAAGGTCAATGTGA